TTCCTCATTGAATACTCAATGCAATACTCAATACTATGAATTGCTTGATTTTTAATAATTTAGAATGAAACATTAATTAAATTCATCAATATAAAAAAGTCACCTTGAAGAACTATAAAACAGATTTTCGATAATTAGAAATATCTCCTCCGTCTCGCTGTTAAACTATATAAAATTTTGTTGGATTAAAAATTTTTAGTCAAAATAGCGGAGAGAAGTAGTATGTATATAAGACAGAAACTTATAAGTTGCATTATACTAATAACACTATATATTATATTATAGTAATAATTAAAAATTTAATTAAAAATTTAATTAAAAAAGTAATTCACTTGATTCAGTAACTTAGTGTTTTAATCATACAACCTAGATAAGAACATTAATATTATTTTAAAATAATTTATACTCATGTAATTATTTATAAATTCTAAAAATATTAATGTTCTTTGTAAGTAAAATTATTGATATTAATTTCCAAATATTTTGAAAGGAATTGTACGTATCATTTAAAAACAAAAGACTCATTTATTGGGGAGCATATTACCTGCTTCGATATATAATATAATAATAAGATTATAATAAGATTATATATAATATAATCAATAATAATAGTATTTAGAAAATATGGACGTCCAACCACTGACGAGAATAGACATTTAAAACAATTAAAATTTAAAATCGATATTTATATCAAAGAGTGCTATTTCTAACTGATCTATCATGTGCCGAGCACTTTAAAAAACGAAATCAATTAGCCAAAGTTTGTGTAGATATTACAGGACACTTAATTTCTTACTTAATTCAAATTGAAAACTATTTAAAGCAGGATTTTGAATACTCTGCTGAAGATAATTCTTCACAATCTTATTTCTTAAAAAAAAATAATTAAACTCCCATCAAGTCTCACTCTCATTAAACACTAATCTAGAATATAGTCAATATATTCACTTAAAGTATATCTACAAATCCTTATTTCTGTATGGCAGCCATACTTATAGAACATTTTTGGAAAAATAAACTTAATCAACTAGGGTCGACCTATGACGTTACTTGAAATGCAAAGAAGACGCAACAAATATATAATGAGAATAAAAGTAAAACTAAAACTATTTTCAAATTAAAAAAAATAAAGAAATGTAAAAATGTGGCAAGCAAACTATGAAGTTTGCGAATTTCTAAGTTTACAGATAAAAGGACAAGAGCCTTAATATGTACTCAGTGAATTTCAAAGTACAGACGTTGACAAAATCTTGAGTGTAATCAAATATTGGTTGGTTGAACCAAAAAATCTTTGAAAAATCAAATCTTAATTACTAAGCAAAGATTTTAAATAGATCTAGAATGCCGTTTCTCCTGTGCTCGTTATTAAGACCAGTTGTTGAACTGTCTGTTATTAAGAAATTTTAATATCTTAAAATTGAAACTGATCGCGTCATATATAACCGAATTTTATTTAATAAAGAAATTTTATGAAGAATTTCGTTTTTTAATAATTAAAATAAAAATATTTTTATTTAATCAAAATTCTATAATATCATAACGAAACATATAACGGGACACAGTATTCAATTTAAATTCCATCCGAAATATCATATGTTTTATTTAAGCTTTAAATATATAGACTCCAAGGCTACAACTCCAAGGCCACAAATTTATTTCTGAAGTGAAATGGATGTGAATGTGTAAGATATATGTGGTTTCAACAAAACGGTGCTACAAGGCACATAATACTTTTCCAGAAGTGTAAGTTTTCACTTTGGTTCTGTTAATAGGAGACCAAATTTATGTGATTTGTCACTAAACAAACAGTTTTCGAATGGTTACACAAAGAATCCTTAAACTCTAGACGCTTTGAAAATGAACATCCCTCAAATTACCACATACATGGCAATAATGTTTCCCAACTACATATAAAATATACGTTAAAGAGATTCAGTGCTGATTGATGTTCCATGAGATACATTTGAATTATGATGTATATTATACGTGATGAAAAAGTCTAAATTATATATTAAAATAAAAATTTGAACTTGGGTTGGTCTGAAACAGGATTTTTGTGGTTATCTAAATTTGATCTGGATCGCGAGTGGGATTCTGTGGTTAAAGTTTTCGACAAAGCCTGTAATTAAAAACTATTAAATAAAACCCATGTTGAACAATAAAAAGAGACAACAACGAAAGATATTGATTTATTTCAATACTCTCCATTTAAATAACTCAGTTGGTGGTCCCTAGGAAAGTATTTTGCCATTTTCTTTGACTTACCCAGTATTATAAATGCTCTAAAATGGGATACTGAATTTTTTCCTCCATTATATTAATGATTATATTGGAAGCATTGTCATTGGTTTGGTTAACATAAACGCATATATCATAGCTATATAACTGCACTCAATTTTGTTCATTCATTTTACAAATTTTTAATAATTATTTATTAGTAGAAAATATTTTTGAGTACATATATACATTCCACTTGTTACATCTCGCTTTTATCTTTTGTGAAATTATACATATATAATGTACACATATTCATATAAGTAGTTAACCTAAAATAAATAATTATTAAAGACTATAAATTTCAGATTTCATATAACATTATTTTTAATTATATTGTACCTGCTTTATATAACAAAGAACCTATACCTTCCAACGAGAAAACCAAATGGAAACTATAGGTAATAAATTTATCTTAAATCTGTAATTATCTTTATTCTGTTAATCTTCAACAGACATTTCAAAAATAATTACTTTCCGTCTTCTTTCCTGTTCCCTTCTCTCTACGTCGCTATTTCTCACATTATTTCAATTTATTATAACTTTATAAAAGTCTGAAGAGGTGCAACTCCAACTCATTTGATTTGAACTTGTGAAAAAGTGAAGTTTGAGAATATTAGAGGTATATATATTTTGCAAAGCCTCAATTTACAAATAAATCAGTGTTTTGTTGATAATTAACAAAAGTCTATCAAATATTTAATAATTAATCTGTTGAATAAGTTGAATTAATATATTGTACTTGAATGGATATTTTAAAATTCAAGGACAATTGGTTCTTTAAATTACAATTTTGTGTTTGTTAATATTATTAATAATTAATTTTACTAATTAATTCAATTACTACAAGGTTAGATTAATTTAATTAATACAAGAATACATACTGCCTCTTCTTAGTAGCAAGCTAAGGGTGGTTTTTCTAAACTTTGAGAAATATTTTTTTTAGTTAGTATTTTCATAGCTTAGATTATGAGCAGAATAAATTTAAAAACCTATAAACAAAAAAAAATACACATTTGTCTACTATATATTCATAAACATATAAGTGGAGTTTAAAAATTCCGTCACTGCATGCAAGGCAAACTGACTTAAGAAATATCGGATTTAAGAGGTTTAGTATCGGATTGAATATGGGCAAGTTATCAATTCAATTTATTTTTCAAAACATTTTATTACCATAGGTAGATAGGTAGGTTAAAGTGACGCCTTGTATCCAAAAAGTCCACTTGAGCTCAAATACGTGCATAGATTGAAATCAGTATACAACGAATCCCAAACAAGGTAACGACTCGCCCATTAGGTTAAGGAAAACCAGCCTGACAGCTTTACAAATTTAACTAGGTGCCTAATATTATAGGATGACAGCTGAGGTCGATGAGAAAAGGGGCCCGAAGATTTTTCATCTTCTCCTAACTAAAGAAGAGCATTGATGGAGCACGGTCTCCTCCTCTTCCTCATAGCCACAACCTCGATATAAGTAATTGTAGTGTAGACCTAGTCTCATTGCATGACTTTCTACTTCGCAGTGATCCGTCAGCACAGATACCGCAGAGCTGATCAGGTTTCGCATTACTTGAAGTAACTGACTAATGCGTTTCTTGTCTAAATTAGACCAAGTCAACCAAGTCAATTAGACATAGTGTGTTACTATTTTATTCATTATTACAGCACTTTAGAACATATTACCATCTTCAGTTTTACCATTCACAAATTTCAATATATTTAACATTGCGACCGAATTAATAATTCTGCTTAATCAATTTAACTAAAATTCAGACATCTTAATTCTGAATCTGTTTTATTTGACATCTTATACGCGTACCAGCAATGTTCCCAGAGCAGCATATACCCAATAGAATTCGTTGATAGTGCAACCAAGACTTTGATGTCAATGCTCCATTTGGTTCTTTGTAGTTAACGTGTCAGTGTTTTTTTACCAGTGAAAATTATTGAGCAACGTGTAAAGATTAAATTCTTCAAAACAAAATATTTAAAACGTTGGAATTGTTTTCAAAATAATGGGGATGTGCACCAAAATCCACTATTCAAATCATTCAAAACTTTCAAAACAAAGTTTTAAGAAACTTAGTCAACGCTCCGTGGTTTATTAGGAATACTGACCTCCATTGGGACTTGAAGATCGAATCTGTGGCTGCAGTAATCCAGAAGTTCGAGGTAAAGCACCAAAAACGATTACAACAACATCCAAACGAGACAGTCAACCTCTGTCTAATACATCTGGCCTGCTGAGAAGACTTAAACAAACAAAGCCTTCAGATCTACTCCCGAATTAGTAGTCTAATAATAATTTAGATTACTACTATTAACACTAAGTCTTTGACAACTTCACAATTTTAATAAGTATACTGAAATGTAACAAAACTGCTTGATAGTTCTTGTATGAACTTGTCGTAGTCAAATGAAACATGTATTTATATTATTGTACATATTGTGTTTCAAATAATAAAACAAAAAAAAAAAAAAAATAATGGTTTGATTTGTTAAAAAAGGGTTGAATAAGCCTTAAAGTTGATCCACATGAAGACATCTAAAAACTGAATAAACACTGGAAAATCTTCTGGTAGTTCATTTCATTTCAGTTTAGACTCATTTTATCTCGTTTTTTTATTTTTGTTCCACGTATTTTTTAAACAATCTAGTAAAGTAAGATGAATAAATATTTAAATAAAAATATTTAAAGATTTATATATTGGTGTTCATTTTAGATTCATAACTTAGGCATGAAGAAAGTGAGTCAAAATGCGTTTTGGTTAGTAACTTTCGTCTTTGCCTTAACGAAATATATAAACGCATACAAGTACAGTTTTAAGACTTTGGAAATGGCAGTTACTAAAGGTAAGTACTCAAAAATATTTATTAATAAAATATATCAATGGAGATTTTAATCAATGATTAAGTAATTAATAATAATTATATACATTTTTAATGTTATTTAGATGGTGAATTTTTATGTGATACACTCAATTGTCCAAAAGAAGTAATTATTTGCGAAATTCAAAAATTTAAGTTCGAGGAGAAATCAATACGTACAAATGGTTGCTATATAAACCCAGCAACTCCCTGGGGATATGTAACCATTACTGAAGAAATTGACCCAAACTTTTCGATGTCAGTGAGCATAGTAGCAGAAAGAAATGGTCACATACGTGTTGTTCTCGAAGACGATTTAATTCTGCCAAATGGTGATGAAATAAATTTCGAAATGACTTAATAACAAAGTGTAAATATTTACCAAGTTTCATTAAAAAAATACACTTATGCAAATAAAATCTTTTTATATTCAAATAAAGTAGTACGATATTCTTACATCCGTCAAATGACAGAAACCTTGACGTAGTGCGAGCGCTATTTGCTTAACACTCTGACGGATATAATGTGTCAATAATGTCCCAAAAGAATACAAAAAATCCTTTTCATTATAACTAATAATAAAATGTGATATTGGCATTATAACCCAAAAGCAAAAGTACATCGCATGAAAATTAGCAGAAACCACAAGAAAGAAAATTACGCTTTCACAAAAGGAAAATCATGGTAATGCTAATCATATAGTGACTTTATCAAAGAAGCTCACTTTATGAGTGTAGCATATTCTTTAGGGCTTCAACGATTGTGAGACAGAGTTCGATATTTCGACCTGTGTATCGAAGGCCATGAAGTAAGTTTTTGTGCACGACAATGCACCATCGCATAGTGTAGTCAGGGTATATGAAGTCTCGGTCAACATACATATCATTTTTATCGATCACCAGCCGTACTCACCTAATTTGTCTTCATGCACCAACCATTAAGTGGATTTAGAAGAAGGTAATTAAATTGAGCAATTAAATGATTAAAATAGAAATAATATATTAAAAAATCAAGACAATTTTTCTCAGACGTCTTAGATTTTGGTTTACTATGTAGTATTGATATGATAGTAATAATGTTGATAATACGCTCTGTATTTCACTTCACTTCAACTCAAGTACATATTGGCAATTATAAAATATACAATGCAGTTCTGACAACGATCTTTCAGCTCACCACATCAGAAATTCTTGTGAAAGATCGTGTGAAAGATCTTTCGTATACTGGCAGCGGTGTTCTGCAACACTGAAAGCTGTTTTCGGTTTTTCTAAAGCTCAAATGGAAGAAATGGATTGATCAGATCTTTCGATTGTCAGCTAAGTTTTTGTTTGTGTTTTTTGTGCACAAACTTTTTTATATAAAATAAAATATATAAAAATTAAAATAGAACCAAGTCCTGTTATTGTATTTCGAGATTCATGGAGTAAAAGATTCATGGAGTCTAAAACTTTCATAATAAAACACAACAGCTTGATTGTTTTGTTCAAGCGATTGAGTTGTGAGCAGTAGAGAACCGAATTAACCATTGCTTTAAACTTGACAGAATATTTCCTTCTTATTTTACCAACGACTTAATATGACCTGGTTTTCATAATGAATAATACTCTAGTTTATTATAAATTTCTCATCACTCATCACATTAATTTCGTTATGTTTTAGCAATGAATGATTTATATCAACCGAATTTATTTGCATTAATTCATATGGTATCCAAACATCAAGTGTTTTTGTGTTTTTTTAAATAATTTCTAACTATGATGTGATTGATGTTTAGTACGCCCACAATTTCCTGATAGCTTTCGCCCTAGTAGCCGTAATTTTATTAAGAGTAGTCAAAAAATACTAGCAACATACGATAGAAAACATGTGAAGCAACAACAATACTCTTAAATCATTGAGAGTAAGGTTTTACTCGCAAAAAATGTTACGTCTTAAATTACAATGTAGCCAAATTCAAAAATCAGTCAATTGTTAATGTACATTGGAAATATATTACGAAATTTCAGTCACCCATTCAAATCATATGAGCATTTCACTTACTCAATGTACAAATACATATTAATTTAAGTATCTAAGATATAAGGGCGGCAAAAATCCTTCTACTGAACCCTCCACGAGGGAGTCGCCTGGAAATGGGACACACAGCATTCTCGTCCTGTACGTTGTCAGGGCAGTGCCCAGCTAAGATCAGGAAGAATTGAGTGAGTGTCCTTAGCTCTTCAATAGCTACGCACCACTCATTGCTTTTTGATCATGGTATGAAGGTCCTCTTAACCCGGGAGTGTTACGCGATCCGTGCTCACCGGGCGTAGGTTTGCAGTCAAGGGGTCTGTCCGACTGTATTTTTACGGAGCCTCTTCAATACATGACCGCCTTGAGGAGTAAGTTTGGTCTAGCCATGGTATGGGACGCTGCTGTGGTGGTCGCCTCTTTCGTCCAAATTTCCTCGGGTCCGCCACGCCTATCTTATCGGGTAAGGGGGACGATTATGATATTTAATGAACTCTTCCGATACTGTCTCGGAACTCATGGGTGGAGAGTATAAACGCACCAAACTCACGGAGGACGAATTATTGAAATCAGATGATGAGATCGTTGCTGATTCCAAAACTGATTATACCAGCTACAGTACACCGGCGTCTTTTCCAAATTCATCATCATCCAAAATTTCCGACAACATTCCCTCTACCAGTCACAGTAGACCGAATGCTAATCACGCACCAACGCTCAAAATTGCCAGTCTCAGCAGTAAAGGTAAGGTGAAATCGCGTAAAAAAACAGCCAGCATGGCACGAAAAAATCGCTATCAGCGAGCGCTTTTTATGCTTAAGAAAATCGAGAGCAACAAAAAAGAAGGAAACGTTCATGAACGAGACGAAGCCGACACTGAAAAATACCGCGCCATTGTGGAGGAGTATCTTCATGATGAGGGTCTGCGCCAATCTGATATCACCGGCAAGAACGTTGGAGATGGTGGTAAACGTAACAGATCTCAAGAAGATCCAGGCATGGCAGCGAAGCGGCGCAAGAATGTAACGGGGGATGTGAAGCCAATACCAAGACCGACACAAGCTGCTCGTCCCTTCAGTGAAGTGGCGAGGGACCATCTCAGTGTGGCTTTGATCGATGAACGCAACTCCAACAGCAAAATGCTGATGGAGAGATGGGCGTTGATTGAGACCAAACTGTCCGAATTGGTTATGGCTGAGCTCATGACCAATCCGGGGTCTGTTCCATCCTTTGACTGCGCAGATATCGTCCGTGGTCATCGAGTGATTAGATGCGACGACGAGTATTCACGGAATTTTTTCAGCAAGGCGATCACTAAGATTAGTGAGAACTGGGACGGTTTAAGACTTAAACTTATCTCTGCGGCGGAAATTCCATCTAGGCCTCGAGCGCGCGTTTGGTTGCCTAAAAATCTTGGCCCTCCGGACCTTATTCTGCAGCAACTGAAGCTGCAAAATCCAGAAATCCAGATGGAAGACTGGTCGGTTCTCAAGACAGAAGAACCGCAAAAACACAGCCAATCATACCTCCTTCTCATCAATGAAGAATGCTTGCCAGTCATTGAGGCTAATGACTGCAAGCTCCGTTATGGCATCCGGAAGGCCAAAATAAAGATATTCAAAAATGCGCCACCGGATAACATTTTGGATGAGGTTGAGGGCACTAGCAAGCTGCTAGATGACCTTATCATTAATAAAAAACTCTGTTGATGTACTGATGGTTTATCGTGCAGGTAAACCTAAAAAATTCCAATTGTACTACGGATAATCTGATTGTCTTACTCAGAGAGGAGGTCATCGACTTTGTCATCATTTAAGAGCCTTGAGTTCATAGTTCATGTGTCAAAGGACTCAACCTTAACGTCCTTTTCATGTCAAAGGGTAAGCTTAGATCATGCATTTTAACAAAAACACACCTTCATGCTTTTCTCTCTTTTCATTTAAGCTCTCTAGATACCAAAATCATCAGGGTAGAGCGGAAGCAAAAACCTGCAGTTTTAATAGTAGCCGTCTACTTTTCATACTAAAGGGAGTAGAATTAGTTCACAATTTCGCACAGACCAAGAAGCTAGCTTTGCTGTGACGCCAGTGCCCGGCACTCGTTGTAGGGAAGCTAGGAAATCAATGAAAAAGGTGAGTCTCTTTTTGATTTTATATTAAGATGCAATCTTGAAATTTGTAATATGAGTAACACTATAGCATATGTAACATATAACAGATAGGTTGGGAAGAGGTTCTGTATATCACCCTTTGCTCGACTTCTCGTTCTTTAGCGATAAATGATTGAAGAGTCGCAGCCAAGAACTCATTCTCTGATCATAGATACATCATGTTTGTGATGGATATTCCCATAGTAGCTAAGCAGTCTCAACGTAATCCCAGGAAGGCAAACTGGGATACTCTCAGTACATTGCTTAATAGCAAGATCAACAGGAACCCGCTCCAATTAACTAAATTAGGGAATTAGATAGTAGGGTCTCTTATAGCATTTTATCTTCCTTTAAAGCATCACGTCCTCGCTCTAATGCGAAGAAATGTAACCGTTTTGGAACGAGAAGCTCTCTACGTTCCGTAAAAATTCGCGAAAAGCTTTCAACGAAAGCTATTGTACCAAAGTTTATACTCCATATAGAAATGCTCTAAAGATTATAAAAAAAAACACTTTAGAAATCCGAAAAAGTGTCATAGAATTCTCATTGTGGGGATTTCGGCCAAAAGTGATTCTCTGGTCCTACACAGCAGTCATTTGGCCAGTTTTAACATACGAATGTGATGAACAAACAACAAACAGTACATCGCTGAACAAACAGTACATTGTTCGAAGGCTATTTCGACTGCGAAACAGGAACTCTAAGATCATGCCCATCAATGCGCTTACAGTCAAGTTTCACACAAAGGCTTGAAGATTTAAACTGTTGGCGCTCGATTGCGTTCGAACATAGGAACCTATTCATTAAATGGGATTAGAGAATGGAACTACCCATATCCTCGCTTACTTTTCGACAATAACTTTACCAACAGAACTCCTTTAAGCAGGGATTGGCAGGACTACTTACATTAGTAGGAAAGATAGCGATCTATACCGACAGTTCTAAGAAGAATAAATGTATTGGAACTGGAAAAAAAAACTTTTTTTGTACTTTTTTGGTTTTTAAATTGTAAGAAATCAAATATAAGACATAATATAATGAAATAAAATGAATTAAATAGCAAATTAAGCATTTTATCTAACAATATTCAAAGTTCAATGTGCTTGCTGTGCCAATAATTATGTTCGCCACTTTATTTAAATTAGTTAATTTATTTATGCATTTGAATGGATTTTATCTATTTTATTAGTAAATGAAATGCAAATTAATGTCACATTTTCAGTTTTCAGGAACATTCTTTGCCTCGCCTTGTTGGAGTGCCATCCATTCTTTTACTGGGTATATGTTTGGCTTCCGTATTTTCACAGCATTTGGTGTTATTTCTACAAGAACTACTTTGCATGTCAGCAAACTTATCTGCCAATGAGAGTTCTCGAGTTACTTGGGATTGAAATTGCAACTACGACAAGGGTGTAGTGTTTTCAAACTTAGTATGTCTATTTACCACCCGCAAAAAAGTGACGATCACTTAGAAGGTAGATGAGATGAAATAAAATAAAATTGTTATCAAAAAAAATGCGATGAGTTAATGGCAAAGTAACATTTTCCAACAATTTTAGAACAACGTCCCCTCCAAATTCGACAACTTTACAATAAGGTGTTGCGGCACTTCCATACAATATGGTTTGATACTGATGAGCAAAAACACCAGGATTTAAAGCCAAATCGATGGCTTTCCACGGATAAACATTTTACATGAATGTCTACCGATATAAAGTTTAATTTGTGCATCAATTTATAAGTCATGGCAGAAACATTAACACAGATCGATCGCAGTATAATTTTGTATAATTTTAGTAAAAAGTATTAATATATTGGCCCAAGGGGTAGAAAACTATCCATAAAAGTTTAACATTTTATAACAAAACTATAATTGTTATTAAATGGATTTTTTTTTGGTCATATAAGAACTTTGATATTTTATTTACAAGACTTAATCATTTTTATTGTGCTAATGTCAATGAGTGACAGTGAGTACTCCAGAAAAAGAATTAAGTTAAACTTTTATGTGTTATTATAATAACTATAACTTGGTTTAAATTGCAGGCAGTTTCGAATGCAATCAAATAATTTGCTCGACGACGACTGCGAAGTTGAAAAGAAATTAAATGAATTGGATCGAAATGAATTTCATCTTGTAAACGCGTGCTTTGCACACAATGATACTGTCTTGGATGAAGTAACTGAAAATCTAACCTATGAAGTGGCAGAACTCGTACATTTACTTGCTTATAAAAATGGAAGCGTATTAGTTTTTGTTTACCAAAAAGTCACAAAACCGATACCCATTGCAATAGCTGCACCAGTGGAAACGGAAGAAGAAGCATTTAGCGCTGGAGTTCTACCAGAAAAAACTTATGAAACTGTGAAGAACATTTGCACCGGTATATATATATATACAAAAAATTTACGTCATGGTGGTAGTAGTATTAAATTTAAGTTATGTCATGTCTTTGGTAAAATAAAGCAATTTATATATTAATTATATATATTTGATTAAATAAGCAAATTTTTATAATGAACTGTTTTATTTGCCTAGAGCTTCTCTCAATTTCAAATCTAAGCCTTCATTTTTTCCATTCCCAATTTTTTTTCTATTGATTCCATTAAAAGTCATAAACGACGTAGGTCTTCTAGACATTAATAAAAAAACTTAGTCAATATCGGCCACTTAAGGGTGACTAAGCTTAAGTTAGGGATCAGAAGCCATTACCGACAAATAAACTGAAAAAATTAGTGGTAAAGAAATTGTCAAATAAAAAAAGGGTTAGACAAATACTTTCGACATCAAACCAAATAAATATTAATTTGAGAAAATGGATATTAAAGTATCAATCAGGTTTTCAAAGAAAGCTTCACAACAGACAAAAAAAAAATGTTCGGCACAGGCAGAACTCAGTGCCAGTTTGCATGATGTCAACGATATGCCCAGATTGTTTAGGTCTTCCAAGTGGTTTTTTTAATGTACGCCATCGAGCTAGCTAGCCAAAAATATTCATATGATCGGGAACCCAGATTAGAGAAATATTGAACTGCGTCGACATCTCATTTATAGATTTGTAATAGTCAAAACCTGAGCTCAAGAACTTTAAAATAGCTTGACTATCCGATAGTATGTATATATTCGTATCAAGTTTATCATTTACTTTTAGACAAGCTATAGCCTCAATTATAGCAATGAGTTTTGTCTGAAAAAACTACAGTGATCTGGAAACCTATAATAAGAGGATATATTCAGCTCTTCAAAAAAAACTCACGCTATACAGAAAAGGTAGAACGTATTGTTTAACCGAGATACCGTCCTATTGGTCCTATCCTTCTGTATTCATTTGAATTGAAAATTTGTATTATAGCTACAAAAAGGTACGGTCCCGTCACAACTGCAAACAAAATTTCACCCCATGAAATGACTTTTTAAGCATTCAATGGTCAAATCTATGCCCTGGATAAGACAATGATAGAGCAAAGCCTGCGTAGAGTACAGTCAAACCTCGATTAGTTTATTAGAAAGCGAATCAATATATGGAATCAACATTTGTTTAAAAAGTTAGTTCATTATAACGTTATAAATGTTCACCAAATACATCGACTGGTATATTTCTTATATAACGATCTGTACTTATCTCTTAGCTTAAAAGAAATAATAAAAAAGTTAAGTACTTTAAATATTTGTTAGAAACAATTGCTTCAATATTAATAAGAAAAAAATAAATTAATTTTAATTAAAACAGAAACTCAATAATGACGTATTTTTAAATTACGTTGAATACATATGTCTATACTTTGTTTATTAAAGGTTCAATATATTACTTTCGAGTACTTACTTATGAAATTTCGAGCTCATAAGATTTCAAATTGTGAAGCTGTGAACATCGCAAGATAAGAAGCAAAGTATTAATTTATCTGACTTATTTTAGCACAACTAAATTGAGTTCAGTGCATCAATTTAATTAAACTACCAGTAAAGATATTACATATAATTTTAAAAGATATAATTATTATAAAAGATATGGTTATGAATAGACATATAAAAAACATTGAAGATATAATTCAATTTATTATGTCAAATTAAAAATATAAACGACTAAATGGAAATAATTAATCAGACCAGGAATCAAACAATATATTCGAAAGAACTTTTTTAGATATATCAGAAAAAATTATTATTAATTTTAAATTAAATATAATTTATATTAAGAGAAAAATGAACAAAACTATTAAAAATTTGATCATATTTCAAATATTTATGCTCGTATTAATGACAGGCGCACACCAGTACATATATCAAATTGATGACTACCATATTGAAGTTAATGAAAGTAAGTACTCACTTACAAAATATGCCTAAAAGAAAGTAATATCTCCAACAATATAATAATAATTTAGCCGATTTCAAATGTGATAAAATATTTTGCCCAGAGGAGACTGAACGTTGCGAGATTGATTTGAAATTAAATGATGAAAATAAAAATGAATTATTTTACATAAATACGTGTTACGGTGACAATGATACTGTTTTGGAGCAAGATTTTAATCTTCAAAGTTACGAAGAGGCAGAGCTCATAAATTTAACTGGTTATAAAAATGGCAGCGTAATACTCATTACATATCAAAAAGTTAGTAAACCTGTAATGGTAACCACACAACAATCTACAGAAGAGAGCTTTAGCGTAAGAGTCATAGCGGAAAAGGTTTATTCAGATGTAACGAATATCGCTAGCGATATATTTAATAAATTCGGTTCATGGTGGTAATAATGTAAAATTAATTATAATTAATATGTCTCAAAACCACTTATTTGTATAAGTAGTATTACCATTTACAACTTTATTTTGTATATTATAAAAATAATAAAAAATATAATTAATTAATTCAGTTATTCTACAGCTGGTTTATGATTTCGTTCTCATACAAACACAGCAAGTGAATTTGTTAATAAAGCTTTCACAAAAAAGTAACAAAACTCCAGAAGAGTGTAAGGACATAAAGGTCAAGTACGGCTTTGGGTCAGTTATTTAAGGTGTGCAGCCTCTGAGCTTCAAATTTGGCAGGGCACGAGTTCGATTCCTATTATTTGCAGTCTCAAAAAAAGTTATTTACGAATAATTAAATACAAGAATTATTTCCAAGACCACTGATGTTGGGTATTTGGCAATACTCGAAACAGCTGTATGGTCAGTTAAAAATTCAATTAATTAAAAAAATATAAAATGAATTTTTGTTGTTGTAGTTCACTACTGTTCGAAAAACCTCTATAATAATAATAGTATTCCTTTCTATTAAAGTATATCACAATTTATATTTAAATGTATTATATACATTTCGTTCGACGTTTGTGATATTATTTTGTTTTTTTTTGTTTCCTAAATATACATCATTTCTGTTCGAATTTTCGTATAGTTTCCTATAAATATATAAGAACACTACACCTATTGTTTAGCCAATAATGAAATCCAACAGAATTTGTTAATTTATCAAAAAAGTAGCTAATGAAAAGTAATCCAGTACTTTAGATAAAAATTTCGTTGGTTAACTGAAATTATAATACTAGGTGTAGTAAAAAGAAATCCATTATTTACTCAATAGTTTTCTGTTATCTTTAGTTATCTGTATCATGCATTGTATAAGTATGGTCAGTTACGCTAGATGGCGTTACAAAGTTGAGATTTTGTACTATTTTTTTGTTTTTTTTTTTTTTTTTTTTTGATAAAAAAACACAAGCGAGGCGAATAAAAATGTGGATAGTGCTTATGTTTCTGATACTGTAACAGGCAATCGTACGCAATTTCTCAAAGATGCACCACATACTGAAAGGCCAATTGTCGAAAATATCAATAAAAGCATGGAAATTGTCGAGTTCGACCATTATTTAAGCACTGTTTACTGTTCAGTTGCCGAAGAGCTAAAATTTCAATTGCACAAAACACTGTTTGGAATTTAAGCCATTTGAGTAAAGTTAGATACAAAAAGAAACTCGAGGTGATACACGAGTTAACTCAAAAAAAAGGCATTTGGACCGAATTTCCATTGCTGCTAAAATGCAACAAAATCGATCCATTTTGGAAGCGGTTGGTGACTGGTGATGAAAAGTGGTGACTGATCACTGACGACAACGTTAAACAAAATCAGTCGTAATATATTTCTTTTTCTACACCTATTATAATATATAGGTATGAAAAATAGAGACATACTTGCAAGAAAAAATCAACAGGGAAAAAGAGAATATTTCAAGAATTCATATAATATAGAGTTAAGGATTTCCCCGTATAAACGCTGAAGAATAGTGTGGTGTCTTCACCAAATGAAGTGCACGCTTTTGAGTTGTATTACAGACTGACTTTTATTATTATTATCAAAAGCTTACGAGCTAAACATTTTTGAGTATACACTGTAACTTAAATTGTTATAAACATATATATTAATTATATATATAACATGCTCCTCCTAAATGAGCTATTTATTTATATTATATTTAACATTAAATAAATAATTTTTGAAATTATAACTTTATAAATGAAACATTTCTTATAATTATAATTAAACTAAAATTAGAATAAATTTTCAATAAATCAAAATAAATAATTCAAGTAACTTCAAAAATATAAATAATTCACAATATGTCATAATGTAATTCAAAATATCTTATTAAATTAAATTTATTATTCTTTAGTTACTTTACCATTCTTACGTGGTCTTAAGTTACGTACATTATTATCAATCAAAATATTTTCATTATTATTACTTACTGAATTTTCAAGTGGTGTGTGAGTTTCCATGATATTCTCAGTGACTGAAGGATTGTTGTCCAGAATATTAGACTCAGTGTGGCATTTGATATTATCATTTTGTTCTAATTTTTTAGTAGCACCTGCTCGTATTTGGTCAGTATGCCTCTTTATTTCCCTCCCATTATGTGAAAGTGTACAAAAGAAAGATCTTGGACCAATTTTTTTTTTAACATTTGCTGGAGACCAGCTTGATCTGTTAGGGTTTGTGTAGTCACGGACATACACATTCTGACCTATATCAAAATCAACATTTCGTTTACCCTTATAATTATTAATGCTTCTTTCTTGATTACATATTATTTCATCTTTAGTTAATGGAGGTCTCATGAAGTCGAATCTATTTCTAATCCTTCTACCTAAGAAAATCTTAGCTGGAGACTCTTTAGTAGAACAGTGTGTGGTGTTTCGGTAATCCATAAGAAATCTATTTAAAACAATTTCAAAATTTGCTTCATTTTGATTATGCAAATTTGCATATAAAGATTTTTTAAGTGTTTTTACAAAATTTTCAACCTGTCCATTGGTTGAAGGATGACCAGGTGCAGTCAAAATATGTTTTATATTGTTCTTTGTGGTGAAAACTTTAAATTCTTCTGAAGTGAATTGTCTACCATTATCACTCACAATTGTATTTACAATTCCAAAACGACAAAATAATTCTCTTAATTTTGATATTACAAAACTTGAAGATATGTTTCTGGTTTGATATACTTCAACCCATTTAGAAAAAGAATCAATTATTACAAATAAATTAAAACCTTTAATAGGACCTGCAAAGTCTATATGAACTCTGCTCCATACAGTATCAGTTGGAGTCCACGGTATTAAAGTGCTCTTTTCTGGGCTTGCTAAAAGTTCTTGACATGGAATGCAAGTTTTGATCAAATTTTCTACATCAACATCTATATTTGGCCACCAGACATAAGATCTAGCTATAGATTTGGTTTTGACAACTCCTAAATGAGATTCATGTAATTTGTGTAAAACGCTCTGTCTAAGTTTTTGAGGAATAACAATTCTATACCCCCAAAGTAGACATCCACGATCAACTGTTAATTCTATACTCTTGGTAGTAAATGACGTAAACTGATTTCCTTTTAAATTGTTAATTGTTCCATTTAAAACAGCATCAGATACTTTTGAAAGAATTGGATCGCGTCTAGTTTGTTGTGCTATATTTTTAAAATTTAGATTTAAATGAGATTGCTCTTGAATACTATATATATAGCTTTTATCGTCGTCATGGTTGTCATTCATAGTTTCATCATAATGAGTCTGCGGAATACGTGAAAGATTATCAGCATGATTTAAATGTCCTTTAACATACTCTATTTTATAGTTAAAACCAGTCATAATAAAAGCCCATCTTTGCATTCTTGCTGCTGCCATGATAGGTAAACCTTTATTTTCATTGAAAATTGAAATAAGTGGTTTATGGTCAGTTCGCAATATAAAATTATTGCCAAGCAAATACTGTTTTAACTTTGAAACACAAAAAATTATAGCTAACGCTTCCTTTTCAAGAGTGCTGTAATTTTGTTCACATTTAGATAAAGCTCTTGAAACAAAGGCAATTGGTTTGCAATCATTCTTTGAAAATTCATGAGAAAGAACTCCTACAACTGCACTATTCGAAGCATCTGTTGTTAGTATAATTGGTAATTCTGGGTTGAAATGAGTAAGTACTTGGTCTGATGTGATATCTTTTTTTATGCATTCGTATGCATCTTGACATTGTTCAGACCATACAAATTTAGTATTTTTTTGTAAAAGCTTATAAAGTGGAATCATTTTGTAAGCAAAGTTGCTTCTATTTAGAACACAAAACATATATACGCCTATATGTTTACTGTCGATCTTTACGACATTTACGATAATGTGTATCCCATGTAGCGTCTCTTTATTATGAAATATTTCTTCGGATATATTTTTAGGGGCGGGAAGTGGGTGTCATAATGATTCCATATGCTTCAGCCTTTCATTACACTCACACACACTTCCATAAAATTCTTAAGCTCACTTTAATTATTTTACAACTGTGTTTTCGTATTCCCTATAAGCCTCAATAATAACAAAAACAAATATTGTAAGCCATAGACTCATTTTTCATCATTCAGTGAGCAAAAAAAAACTTGTATGCAAAAATTATAAAAAAAAAATTTACGAATTTTTATATTTAATTTAGATATTATAATATCAATAAATAAAATGTATTACATTATTATTATTCTATTATTTCTGTTATGCTCAGCTGTTTTAACCGTATTTAATTTTTAAATAAAAATTCAAAAAAGATATTTATAATGTATATTACAAATATTATATTATTTTGCAATATTTATATAATATTATACAATTATACGAATTATTATAAAATTATTTATAGTACATTATTTACATTTTATATATAATTTAATATATAATAAAAAATATACATAAACTTACCGATAAGTTGAAAATTGAAAACATTTTTTTGTTTACTTAGCCAGCATTCACAATATACATATGTATGTAATACATCGTACGTGTGTTGACAGTTTAAAGATTACTATTATATTTTGTTATAAAATTTTTCACTATGTACATAGCTATGTACACACACATATACATAACAAGTGAAACACATATACGTTGCGTAAAGAAAACATCACCAATGAGCTAACGGAAAACTTTAAATTCAGAGGGAAATGTATTGTTACACTTAAGACCGAATTCTTTATAATTTTTTTTAAACAATAATTAAGTTTCATTTATTTATTTAAATATTAAATTAAATACACATAAAAACATATTAATTCGCGAATAATATTATTGCGACACATTCGATCAAATATTAAAATTTACAAAAATTTCGGCGCAACTTATCGAAATCAAAACAACTCTAACGGCTTCAACCGATAACGAAACACTGCAGCAAAGCTTGTCTTGCACATGCGTCACAGCAGTGCTGTTTTTATTGCAGTGTTGCATTTTTTGCAATAAAAATATTTAGTTTAAAAAAATAACATATTGTGCTCTATCAAAAACAATATTAGGCGTTTTCGGTGGCTCGCAAGTACGGCAAAAAATGCATGTTGGCCTATGTTGGCCACGCGAGTCATTGGCATCACTGTTGCAATCTGTCAAATGTTTTGTTTTGACGTTTTGATGTTTTGTATATGTGCATATAAATCAGTTATATTTTTAAAATAATATAAAATTAAAATGAACACGGAATTAAAAGGAATGGTAAGAATATTGGAAATTTAAAAATAAAACACTAAGATAAGTAAATTTTTGTAGGTACTGTCGATGTTGGGAGAAGAAAGCACCGTTTTGCAGCGGCCGAGGGATGCAAGTTGCTTGAAGGATTTTTTAAATGTTATGAATGCCGCAACAGCCTCCTCTGAAGATTCAAGCCAGAGTGAAGAAGAGCAGGAAAAGTGTAAAAATTTTGAAGAAAGTATAGAATCAATGAACCCAATGGATTTTAAAAATCACTTCAGATTACGACGAAGTACAGCGGAAGACCTTATCTGTAAATATACATTGAGTTGTTTGTGATTAAATTACAAATTTAATTTATTTCTAGTGCGCTTCTCAGAATCGGAGAATTTGTCGGATACAGATTGTGGTGGTATTAAACATGTAAGCTGCAGAAAGTCTGTCTATATATATCTTTGGTACGTTGGTAATACAGTAACTTATAGACAGTTAGGAAATCTCTTTGGAGTGTCAGTTTCTACAGCATGGTCAACAGTAAAAACTGTTGCTACGTTTTTGATTTCCATAGGCCGAGATTATGTATCATGGCCACGAGGAGTCGCTGCATTAGATATAATAAATACATTTGAACGTAAACACAAAATATCAGGCATTATCGGAGCAATCGATTGTACACACATTCCCATTAAAAAACCACAAAACCATGGAGAAGATTACTTTAATCGCAAGCAACGTTATAGTATCGTTCTCCAAGCTGTTGTGGATGCCAATAAAAAATTTATTGAAGTTACTTGCGGAGAACCTGGATCTTTGCATGATTACAGAGTTTTGAGAAGGTCAAAGCTATATAGAATGGCACAATCAAGATACGAAGAAATATTTCCAAACTCGACATTTATTATTGGAGATTCTGCTTATCCTTCTACAAACTGGATTGTGTCACCTTACAAAAATTATGGGAATTTAACCGATAGTCAAAAAAAATTTAATGAAAAACACTCATCTGCTCGTATTGTAGTTGAGAACGCTTTTGGTTTACTAAAAACTCGTTTCCGAAGATTATTAAAATTTACGGAGCAGACAAATTTGGCTGCAATAACAAATATAGTTGTAAGCGTTTGTATTTTACATAATATTTGTATTATAAAGGATGATTTGTTTGAGAATGCTGAATCAAATATTCAAAACAATGACGAACAGCAAGCTGATGAAGAGCATGAATTAGATCATGGTAATAATAGAAGGGAAAGGCTTTTTAATTATTTGTTAAGAAAAGGTGTTATATAAGTTTATTAATTAATATATTTATTGTAATTTTTTAAATAGAAAATTTTGTTACATTTATAGAAACTAACTTAACTTAGTTCAATAAGTAATAATATTTTAATGTGTAAATAGTTTGTAATTTATTTATTAATAACATAAATTAATGTGTAAGATTAGTTTTAAGATTAAAATATTATAATGTTTTTGAACGAAAATAAAAATACTATACTATTACAACTAGAAACTTATTTGAACTTAAAATATTTTACATAAAAGTAAAATAAATAGTACAAATTTAAAGAAATTCTTAACTTAAAAATATATATTACATAAAATGAATATAACATATTTTTAATTAAAATAAAAATATTATATCAAATTATTTCACATCATTGATAAAGTATTTTAACTTACACATATTTTTTTATAAAATTAATATAAATATATTTTTTATTTTACACATATTTTGCGTAAGTTTTTCAAGTAACTTGAATTTATTTTCCTCCAATTTCAATTTTCTTTCCTCTAATATCAATTCATTATCCCATTTCTTAATTATTTTTTGCTTCAGTTCATTCATAGTTTCTTTAAAAAATTTTAATTTCTCTTCCTCTATTCTTTTCTTAACAAATAATTTGTTATCATAATATTCCTGACGCACAGATTTTCTTTTGCGGTTAAATTTTGAAGGTTGTGGCAATTCCTGCATTTGCAATTCCTGCGTTGATGATTCTTGCGTCGGCGATTCTTCCGTTAGTGATTCTTGCGTTGGCGATAGCTCAGCGTTCGTTTGCACAATGTTTATTTCCAACTCTTCCAGCACCTCTATGTCTTCAACATAGCTGTCAAACCCTAACGTCGCAGTGTGATTAATTGAAATAATTGGTTTATCACCAAATATTTCGTTCATCAACTCCATGTAGGGTGGTAAGCATGGCGATGCACCAGTCCGTCTGTTGTTATCTTTGGCTGCTTTAAATGCACTTAGAAGTGTGCGCATTTTTCTTTCTAAGCAGACTGGAGTAAAGTCATCCTAAAATAAATATTTTTTTTTAATATAATTTAATTTATTTTTTTATTCAAATGATTGCAGAAGTTATGCGATACTTACTGCAATTCCATGTGCTATCATGTCCTCAAGTACATGTTGATATCCAAGTCTTTTTTTTCTGGTTTCCATAAACTCTTCCTTTCGTGCCAAGTAGCACTCTAGAAAACACTTCATTTCCTTTGTGGTCCACAGTTTACGTGTATTTCTATAAAAAAAATTTTTAGAAAAACTTTAAAAATTATGTTTGCTTTATTAATTTTATGTATGTAAACTACAAATTAAATGAAATAAAATAAATGTTACTTGGTAATAACTAACATAATAAAAAATTCAATGTGCTTAATACTTACGATTTCTCCATTCTTATTATTTCTTATTTACTTTTCAATATTTTTCAAATTTTTGAATTCTGTTTGAATTTTTATTTCCTCAATTTTTGACATTTGATTGCACTATTCGTTGGAATTTTCAATGAATGTTCACAATAGTTCGCTTATTGCGTTGGTAACATTTTTTTTTTTACTGGCCGATGTGGTTGGCCAGCATAACTATGCTGGCCGATGCAGAGAAAATAGTGTTGTTGTATTGCGTACATTGCGTACTTGCCGTGCTTGCGAGCCACCGAATACACCTATTATAATTAATATAATAATTATAATTTTTATGTTTTGTTTTTATTGGCAATTATAACATTGCTTTGAACATTGCTATGTTTTCTTGACTCTAAGATTTTTATTTATGCAATTTGGAATTAAATTATTATTGAAAACAACTATTAAAGTCGTGTGCGAGTTAGGCTAAGTTGATGCTAAACCAAATGGGAGATTTTTTGGGATTTTTTGCACTGCACACATTTAGCCATTTATCAACACGTATCGACATATCACTACATTATCGGCACAACTTAGAATTTCCCTCATTTAGAACGCAACTTAGCCTAACTCGCACACGTCCTAATTAGTACGCAATATAAATAATTTATTTCTTAATCAAAAATTTACTTATAATTCATTTTTTTAGGCACCACCGAATTCTGACAAGTCTAACAAATTCAGCATATTGATAATTTAATAATTTATTCATATAACCATACAGCATAATATTCCACTAATTCTATTACTAATATCATATTAGTAAGGTTATTTTCGCACAGCGAGAAGGGCGTAATGAGCACATAACTGTAATTTGGTATAATTTAAAACCCCACCCCTTCTGCAAAATTTTCTTTCTATGGCTGTACCATAAAATACTCACGTCGGATGGCCCTCCTGTTACGGAACCATGCTCGAAGATTGAATCTCTCTTTTAATCAAACCTGTCACTGCTGCTATTATGCTTCTGTCCAGCTCACGTACTGCGGTGATTTAACACATTAGGAGCCCTTTTTCTTGAGAATTTTAACCAACTACAAAATCTGATACTATGGTCGTGTGCGAGTTAGGCTATGTTGATGCTAAACCAAATGGGAGATTTTTTGGGATTTTTTGCACTGCACACATTTAGCCATTTATCAACACGTATCGACACATCACTACATTATCGGCACAACTTAAAATTTCCCTCATTTAGAACGCAACTTAGCCTAACTCGCACACGACCTATGTAGCATTTTAAGTTTTGCCAAAGGTTTTAAATGGTTTTAAACCCTGAGTTAATCCTATGTACGATAACACAATGGGGAAATAGGCCTAAGTGGATCCTCCAGGGATCGCCGGTATAACCTAAACTAACCTAGGGTGGCCCTGAGTTGTATGTGGAAAAATTATTTGTTTACAGATTTGTTATATCATTTTCTAGTACCTCAGTGTTAAGAAATAAATATGGAAAAAATTTCAAAAACCAATTGCCGTTCCGCTACGCCATTGAAAGTAAAAAATTTAGGTATAGTTGCTACATTACAGTAGCAAAGCCAGCAATTTTTTAATTACATCTAACTATTTAATAATATTTATATATATAATATATAATTTTAGAATGAGAAAGAAAGTTTTATAGAATTATTTCAAGAAACGTCCAAAATCAATTAAAAATGTTTATTTTTAACAGCCTATATCTCTGAAAACTTTCAAAACTTTCAAGAAATGCAAGTTTTTCGTTTCAAAGCTATATATAATCAATGTCTATTTTTGTAATAAGAAATAATTAAATATTTACGGTGTTTACTGTTGTTTAAAGTTTAATCTGCACCCAAATTTCTGATATTCATGGGCGGTGCGGCATCAACTTTTTTTCAAAAGTTTTTCCTTTCCACAAAGATATTAGAAAATAATACAACGAATCTAATATTAAAAAAATTGATTAAACTTTCACAGGCGGTATCAATCTAAGCAGAATAAAATTCTGATCTTACTTTCACGGGCGGTACCAATCTAATCAGTAAAAAGAATTTTGGTTACCCTAGTAATCGTGAATGTAAATAATGCATACATATTAGTTCCCATAGAGCCTACGAGGAACAGTGTCACTAAATACTATAATACATAATTTTAAGGTAAATTAACAAACTATATATAACTATACCGTTTCTTTTTTTTTTTGACTTATTCTGCTTTTACTTCCAGTAACATATCTGAATCTGATATTATATTATATTGAAGGAATTTGTGATGCGGCAAGGCTTAATTTCAACTTTTTTTAAATCTTACATCCTTGGCATAGACATGCCTAGACATTTATTATGCTAACTTCATAAACTTAGAGCATTCTTCCAAGTCCAATTTTTTCTATAAATTGTAGTATTGAATCTACATTACAGAGTTTTTTTTTCATCCGATATGAGATGCACACCTAAATACTTCTTTCGTTTATGCATCACTGTAAGAAAAACTCTTAGTTTATATTTTAATGTGTCATTCTCTTACCTACAAAACCTACAACTTTCGTTATAATACGTTCCAAATTTTAAAATGTGATGATTTATCCATCAATATTTTGTTTTTGGAACCACAATATTTTATAGTTCCAAAAATTAATGTTAATTATTCACTAGTACCTATGCTTATTAATACGAACAAGTTTTTATTTGAACTTATCGATGTTTGATCCATGTCATAAAGTGTAGAATATATCATTCAAATGTTCCACACAAAATATTTTATAGTACTGGATAGTTTTGAGATAATTTTAGATGTCTTGTTATCATATAGCTTGCAATAGTTAAACAATAACTTGACGAATATTCGTCGAGATATTTTAAATCATTAGGAAATAGGAGATTTAAAGACAATTCTTAACACATTTCTTATCATAATCCTACAAATAAAATCCAATAATAACAAATCGCTTTATATGAATGGAAAATTCATAAAACCAAAACGTGAAACTACAAGTCCGAGCAACCACAAAGCCACTATAAGACGTCTTAATAGGTTTGTAATACTGTCATACTAAAACTACATATATTCCATATTCACATTTTCACCTTTAATCCAAAAAAAAAACTGATAATCATGTAAAGCGACCATCATAGACGATTTAGGTAACTTACTTTTTCGTCATATAGTATGGGCGTAAACATACCATACTTTTTGAAGCTACAATGGTCTATCGATAGTTATTTACGGATTAACAGTTCTCTTGTTGCGACAATTTTGTTTGCTGACATATCTATCAATCGCAGAATGAACTTCATCACTTGAGAAAATTCGATGTGAACGATGAGTAGCATTTTTATAGTAATTTTTCACAATTTTAACACGTTACGCGATTATTAAACAATCCACATATAAAATCATACCCAAATTTTAAAGTAAATATATCATATATTTGATGCCTTGAATGTGGAGTTCCCTTTAATATATGTCAGACAAACATTAATACCAAATATGGACCACGAAATGGATAGTCCATTATATTTGAATTATATTATTGGCAGAATAGTGTTATTGGTTAAATTCTGGTCTTTATTTCTTCCAATTTATTCATTCTTTCCTATGTTTTTCTTCAAATAGGAATTAACTGCAATCATCTCCTGCAAGTCCACAAACGTTTGTTACCGAATAATGTGCACCTCGTTGTATTAAATTTTATTTTTTAAACAGTTACCGCATTTATTGCGGACCATAGACTACTTATAGACTCACTTCTACTTATTTCTAATGGGTTTTTTTTGGCTAGCTATCCGTTCTTGTAATTTTTTTCAACGCTGACCAAAATATGATTCTTAAGTTTATCTGATAATAATTCATTTCAAGTTATTAGTTTTTTCTTATTTTATCAGTTATAAACTTTTCCGGTACTCGTTCACGTCCACAATAAGCAAGATCCAGTACTATGACAAATCATTCATTAATAATTCTTGAATGAGTAATACCAACTGAACTTTAGTTTCAATATCAGAAACTCCTATGGGGAAAAATAGTGTATAAAATAAATTTTTTTTTTTACTTTGAAGATAATGTAGGTATTGAGAATTATCAACTGAGTTTAATTAAATTGTTTTAATTACCGGTAATTGTTATCAGCGAACTTGAAACCAAAACTTGATTCATTCAAATTTCAAGATTAATCAAAATGGATTTGTGATCGATATCAGCTACACTTTCGTTTTTGGTCTCCATGGAAATTTTATTAAAATTATTTGTTATTCTTTATCAATTTCAATTAAATCACATTTAATGCATTAATTTCTTAAACAACTTATAATTACTTTTTTATTATTACTAATGTTACTAATCTTTTTTGTGATATATTATCAAACAACATGCCAACTTGACAAACTGACATTATCCCCCGCCATAAGATAATATAAGCTACATAGATATGGAAACTCTGGAGAAAGTATATAAAGCGAGAAATTCCGGTATTATTCACATTTACAGAAGTCAATTACATGTAAGTTTAAATAATTTATTACTTTTAGTTTTACTTTTGTTTTATACATTTCGATCAGCATTTAGACTGATTGGATTGCTGATTTAGTCATTTAATTATATATGATTTGATTTTATAATAATTTTGGGTTACTTACTTACTAACTTACTTAGGTAGTCTTTACAGACGTGTATCTTCTATGGTCACGTTAAATGTCTTCCAACAGCCAACCCGATCAACGTTTTGATGTCACTAGTTGGTAGTCCTGACTGCCATCGAACAGTTTATTATGTGACCGTTAAATCTAAATTAAGATACGAAAGTCCTAAACTGCGTTTAACACCAGCATTTACCGAATCAAAAATCCTTCAAAATAAAGCAATTTCACTAATTCTCACTACTTGATCAGTAAAGCCAAGCCGCTTAATTTTGACCCTAGACCATAGATTTTCTTCTCAAAGGCTTCTAAAACAGTAGGATAGGCATGATAAGTGACTTGTGCACCATGGGTTTCATTTGTCGATGAAAGACTTTCTTTTTTGTTGCCTGATTCGGCTGATATAGTATTCATTGGGAAGAGTAATTTTAACAGCGATATGGAAACCAAACACTCATACCCAGTTGCCTCGCTTGTTTTTTTAAAACATCAAAGACCATCTATTTATTATGTATATAAATTATCATATTCAATTTTTTTTTGTTTTGAACTATAAAACTAAAAGCAAATACTTAGAAAAGTATCACACCTAATCCCTCGAAAGCTCGTTAACTTAATAAAATTAACATAGGTATAATGTCAGAAAAAAAACTACACAAAAGACTATCACTTTACCGAGCTATCGAGCGTGTCTACATCTACCCCTATTATGTTAATCTAAAATTTCTAAATATTTTTTAGTTTCCTTTCAATATGGGTCAAATCTACAAAATCGATGCTTTTGCTATTGTAGCTTTAATTTGCTGCATCTACACTGTTCCAACGGTAGGATTCAATTATATCGAAAATATGGTCCTGTCTTATGACAACGGTATGAGGAACTCATAACATTATTATTGATGTACTACAGTGTTTTATTCCATTTTCAGATACACAAATATGGCAATGTGACTTAATGACATGCTCTAAGGGTATGTTTGGCTGCAATATTCAACTTCATAACACCTACAGTAATTCCTCGAAATATATCCAACATATCACAACTTGCTACGATAGTAATTTCAATATTTATGCATCCGCATCAAGATTAACGCCAACCGATGGAAATGAAACTGTTTCGATAAATATATATTCGTACTTGGGATGTTATACGGTAGCGAGCACAGGTTATTCTAGAAGTAGTCAAACAATAAATGGTACAGTTAGTGTACAGGACTGGCCAATGTTCCAAAATATCACACAACAAATGGTTGATGATATTGAAAATCAACCATGGTATCTTGAATAATCATTTTTTTACTAATCGGTTTTACTGATTTTTTAAATAAAAATAAAAAACATTTATCAATGAGAAAATATTTTGTATCTATTTGCAATTTTTTCTATAATATATAATTCTATAATAGAGTTAAGGATTTCGTTTGTTAGGTGGTTATTTCATGAGCACTGCTGGGATAAATAGCGTTTCTTTAGTATTAATTTACACTATCTATCTTTATACTACTTTAAACTAGGCGAATTGATAAATTCCTGGCATAAGTAATACATATCAATTTTTTTGGAAAAATTATATTTCATGCTACAATATAGTTTCATTTCAGCTCGACCGAGTTCAACGATCTTTCAATATTTGGATACCTTTTAAATAATGAGATTTATTAAGTCCTCCGAAATTTGACTCAGTTTACCATACCTCTTCATCATTTGATGCAAGTCTCTTTTTCTGGAGCAATCTTTTCTAGTTTGAAAGCAGGTAATATTCACTGGGAGCCAAAGCTAGAGAATACGATACCAATCTGTATCATAATTCATTTATTTTGCCATGGTTTTCATTGACATGTGAGCGGTCGCGTTATCCTGCAAAAACAAAATTTTTTTCTTCAACAAATGTGGTCCTTCTTCCAAATAATCTATGAAAACTATTCCACTTGAATCCCCAAATACGAAAGCTAAACCTTTTCCAGCCGATTGTTGAGGTCATGGTCGTTTGGGAGCGTTATCCCAAGGCTCTACCCATTCTCTGGTTTGTTGTTTTCCATCAGGTGTGAAATAATAAATCCATGTTTTATCAATTGTCACTAATCGACACTCACAGCCACCTAGTGCATAAACATTTCCAAACAACGTTTTGAATGACGAAGTTGTTGTCGTATTTGGTCAATTGTGAGCAAACGTGGCATCCATCTGGCCGAAAGTTTTTCATACCCAAATATTCTTGCAAAATATTCGTTACACATTCATATGATACAGTTGTCATCTCTGCTTTCTCGTACAATTTAATGTTTCGATCATCCAATACAATATCGTTGTTTTTTTCAATATTTTTTCAATTATGACCACTTTTGGATGATTCGGACATTCTTCAAAAACACTCATACGACCAGGTTTAAATTCAGCTTCCCAATATTTAATTGTTGTTAATGATGATACAAGGTTACCGTAAATAGAATTCATTTCCAATTTGATTGCATTATTGTTCATTCCTTTCAAATTGAGGAATTATTTTTCTTAATGTTATTCAATTTTTTCCCTTTTATAAGAAATCACCAATGAATACTATTTCAATTATTTGCAAAAAGTTAACTAAACATTTGAAGAAGTCGAAGCTTTGACAGCTGTCATTTAAAACTTGCCATTTGTACAAAAGATAATTGGTTTTTTTATGGCCTTACCACCTGTTATGAAGTCAGGTAATTCACCTAATAAAGATAAAACTCTATTAGTCTTTTATGTTCACTTTGTTTTGTTTTTAATTGTCCATTATCTATAACCACCAGAGTCCTAATTTTTTTTTTAGGTGATGAAAATGACCTTTATTCTCTCTACCCTTAACTTTTCACCTGTTAAGATATCTTGTCATTTTATGTATGTGTTTCGGTAATTTAACATAGATGAAATACCCTACCTTGTCAAAATACATTATGCAGATATTGTCTACATATAGAGATATATAGATATATAGAGTCTACATATAGATATTTTTGAGTTATTTGAAGATATTTACTACATAGAAGCTGTACAATAATGTAAAAACTGGTCAACTCTGTAGAACTTCTGACTTCATTTCAATTGTTGAAAATAGATCGTTTTTTATTTTGAACCCATATTTTCTGCCATTTAGGAAACTTTTGAAGACTTACCGTTGAGACTAACTATTATTTTAATTTGCGTTTAAGCCTACGTATATAACCTTGTGAAATAGGAGTTCTTCTCTCTATTCGTATCATCTACGTTATCCCCACCAGTTTTAGTTTGGTAGAGTATTCTTCGATGAAAACATATTATTCGTATGAAATTACGTTTCCTTCCCTGAATGTTCGTTTTAGTCTAATTATGTTACTAGCATTTCTTAATACAGATGTCCATTTTTCAATTATTTATTTTAATAATTAATATAGGAGAAGGAATAAACGGGATACTAGCTCCCAACGAAGCGGAGCACTGCGACCATGATTGATCATTTGATCATTTGTGCTGCAACAGACCCTAACCGAACAAATGACATCCCGCCTTCCAAATTAAACTCAGAATGTCGGCCGTTGAATACCTCCTAATGTCAGAAGAGGAGAGTAGTTCTCTACCCAGTAACCTCCTTCTGGCCCAGATCAAAGCTGGGCAGTCACAGAGAATGTGACTGGAATGCTCGTCTGCTTCTAAGCAGAGTCGACAATCTATCTCTTCAGACAGACTCGAATTATTTGATAAAAATAATTAATTATATACAATATAGAACAATTTATATAAAAATTAAATTACTTGCAGAATAATATTAAAAATATTGATAATAATTTTTAAGCTATTTGATTGACTTAACATCAATACATGTGTAACGTATTAGTAAAATCGGTACCAATTAATATATTTCTTTCCACTAAGTTATCATTTCAATGATTAATCGATTTTATTTTTATTTAAAACTTTTTTGAGTCATCATCATCATTAGTTTATCATCCTTGGAAACCGATCAAATTTAATCAATACAGTTAAAAAGTATTTGATTATATTAAAGAACTAGATTTCCTTTTAGTTATGTAGATCACATAATATTATTTATAGGTATAGTAAAATCATATTCAATCGTATCGTTCCAACAACTTATATAATCAAATATTGTCAGGTAGTAAATTAATTTTTCGTACGTCGTAAAGAATTCAATTTCAAATCGTTAGGTTATAATCTAACAGTTATTGTCTCTATATATTGTTGATTCTTTCCATCTTGTATTCTTTTATTTTATAGAGAAAGATATCAACAATTGCGGCCGTATGCTTCTCTTAAGAGTTAAGGGATCTTATTTATATATATATATTTCAACAATTGTTCGCATGTAATTGACTTATAAAGCCTTTGAATCCATTAATGTTAAGAAGAATTCCACAATATTTGAAAGTCCTTAAATATCTAGAAAAGTAAGTCGGTTACAGTCTTTCAGTTTTAAAGTAATTATGCATAGATGTATGCTAGAGAGTGTAGATCCGTCCCAATCCATTTCTTGCAACCCTTTGCAATCTGTAAGTTATATGTTAAGAAAAGCATATAAGTTTTTCTTGAATATGTTTAATTAAAAGAAATAACCGAGACACAGTTCTTTAAAAAAACATTTAAGTTATTTTTTCATTTTAATTTTTTAAAGTATATAGTTAACTGTCTATCCACAATTATGGATCAACACTTAATACATTTTATAAATTGGCATATAAGATAAATATATAAATATATTTATATTAAGAGATTAGTATTACTTAAAATAATTTTTGATGAATTAATAATTTAATTAATAAATGTTTACGTTAAAAAATTAAATGATTTACTTACAGGTATGATTATAAAATAGTAAAATATGTGTATTTTATAAATAATTGTAAATTTAATATGTATTATATATATCATATACATATATATATAATATATGTTTTATGCATATTATATATGTATTATATACATTATTCATATATATTATAAATGTATTATATATATTATATTATGTATATATTATATATATAAATTATATATGTATATATATGGTACTCTCTCTGCAAAGTGAATAATTTTAAGTCATAACTGTAATATTTCTTACTGATAATGTATGTCATTATAAAAAATTATAGCAAAATTTCTAATTATTTCAATTTATTTCTAAATTGTTTTGAAATTGAAATTTAAACTTCAATTGTTACAGTCGACGTATTTATTTATACAATATTAATATTATACTTATTGCATATATATATATTTTTTTACTGAATATGAAAATTGATTATGGTAAGTAATTAGCGATTAAAAGTAAGAATTAATAATTTAAAAAAATTATTAAGTTTTGTTATCATAAAGTTTGTCTTTTCGTATGTATTTTCTTATCAGAATTGTAACATTTTCACAAACATATCGGGGGAATTACCTTAACTTACCTTACCTGCCCACTTTAAACACTTATCACTAATGCCACATTTAATTGATCAGGTTGAAAACTAAATGAGTTTGGATGACATTACAAAAAATAAGTTATATATATATAAGGTATATAAATAAGGTATATATAAATTTATTTAATTACATAGATATATCGTTTAATGATCTATTTCTGAAGACTTTAGACATCTGCCTGTGAAAGACATCTGAGTGATCTCACATTCCAGTAATATAAGAGTAAAAGTGTTAAATATTAATATTTAAGTTTTTCAAATTTATCCAATATCGGTTAATGATTACTAATGAACACCTTTTATATACTAGTCCAACGATAACAAAGCTATAGCACAAGTGAAAATTTCTATCACTGGCACCAAGCCTTTTTTATTAAAATAGTACATACGGCTATGTAACACATGTGATCAAATATGGAAGTCTTTTATATAATATAAATAGATTTAGGTAGATCTATGTCTATAGAGATACACATATAAAACTGATTGCAGTGGGAACTAGTGAGAACGCTGTTAAGTAAGACAGTGTGTTTACTGAGATGACGCATAACTCAAAAGAATTCATAGACGTTACAGGTTAAGAAATTAAATTAAGATACAATGCATATTATATAATATAGATGAGTCATTAACCTAAAGAACCTTAAAACTGATCACACAGTTAGGAGTTAGCTTGATTAAAAGGAAGGATGCAAAAGCAAAGTAACTTATACATCAACTTTCTCTCTCACAAATTGTTGGATGTAAGAGGATTATTATTAGTAGTAGTAAAGGTTTTTGTTCATTCAATCAATATTGTTATACATTGTTATTATATTAACTGTTTCGAAACCCCAAAAGCAATCTTAAGAAATGATATTTGATAAAATATCAAATTAAAAAGCAATAAGAGACGTTATATGGTTTTAAATCTTCTGTTTATTTTAGAGCAATCCAAATTTGGTATTTAAAAAGACATGCATCCGCATGCCTAATCTCAATTTCAGTTAAAATGTCCAGCACAGAAAAATTTATATAATTTAATGAACTGAAAACTTGTCACAAGATCTTTCTTTGAGCATAGCAAACGAGATGGCTAAGATAGAAATATTCAACAAGGTCGATCACCAAGTGGCGTTCAACACTCCCAGAGGGAACTACGCAAGCTGGTACGTATTTTTTTGACATTTGTCGTCTATACCCATTTACGTTCTAGCCCACGTATTTGTTATGTTATTCCTTGCATTCTTTTCTGCTTTACAGATCCCTCACTGTGCAAAGATATGAAACATGAAATCCTGCCAAACGATTTTTAAAACGCATACAAGCTTCTATCAATCGATGCCTCAAATGCATACTAAAGATATAATGGCATACGACAGGCTATGGAGAGTAAATAGCAAACTCTAATCAAATATAATGTAAAAAAATTTAATTGAATCGGTAACTTGTGAAGAAAAACCATGCTTAACATCACAAAACAAACCATCAAATGAAACCCTAAGGGTTCCCATAGATTACGATGTCCAATGCGCACACGGATAATGCAGATCGAAAAAGAGTATAAAAAACTGAAATAAGTGAAACGAATAATATCAGATCTAAACAGATTTAAAAATTTAGTTGCGACCCTATACTACACTATAGAGTAAAAGATATTAATATGTATATATACTATATATACTACAGTATATATACAAATGGCCATTATTATAACTAAAAATACAGCTCAGCCATTAATCTTCAGAAAATATCCGTACGTCTGCGTTATTTAGCGAGAGGCCACAATATCAATAGATATTCAATAGTCATTTGTCCAGTCCTCTATAAATTTTTGCTTACGCGTTTCGCCTGGGATTACCCAGACTCTCAGAGTGGAGAAGTTTGTGTATGTCAAGCGAAAGCGTCTCTTCTTGTGTCCGTCCTTATAAATAACGAATGTAGAATTCAGTAACATAGTGATAATATTCATAATAGAATTAATCCATAAATAATAGAAGACGTAAAAATGGCGTCTACTGTCAGCGGTGTCGGGATAACGAGGCCACTCCTATATACTACAATACTTTACCATTGCCAATAGCCTACCATGCAGGATACAGCTGGTGGGTGGAGAACGGCTCCTCTTACAATACTTACGTAAAATTATTACATATAATAGTATTATTTTGATAAAAATAGTATAAAGCAAATACGTTTTGCACATCGCAAATATCCTACATAGAATGACTCATACCCCACTCTAAATTTGACTATTCGTAAGCCCAAACCTCTAATTATCTTCAATTGATATATAAATATATATTTATAAATAATAAAATTTCGTAAGATTAGTGTTATAGAAAATACAATATGCACTATATACATATTGTGTAATTTATTACATCAATTATTTTTAAAAAAATTATTAAAAATTATGTGTTTTTTATTTTGTATATTATTTAGTAAATTATTTACTTTGAACAAATTATTTTATATCTATAATTAATTTTAAAATAAACTTTAAAAGAAATTGAACTAAACTTAATATACTAGAAAAGTATTAAATTTAAAATCACAATATAAAGGAATTTTGTTAAATTAAATTTAAACAATGTTGACAATAACTTTTTTAATAAATAATAATATAACAAATAAATAGTAAAGTTTAAGTAAAAAATAAAAGAAAGAAATTATTGCACAATTATAAAAGGTAATTGAATTAATATAAACATTAATAATTTATACAACTACTACAGCAGACTTATACGTTTTTATAAAATTAATTAAAATTGAATAAAACATATTTTACTATTTTTAAAATATATATTAAATTCAAAAATAAATTAAAAAATAACAAACTGAAATAACTAAAGTTTAATTATAAATTACATTGTAAGACGAAAAACAAACAAAATTATTTACGATATTTAAAAATAGAATATTAAACCTTAATTTGTAAATATACAAATTAATTATTGTAGTAAGTCAGGCTAAATAATTTTAAATATGGAATTAAATGTAAATACTTTACAATAATTAAATTCTGTAAGAAATATTACATTAAGAAATAGTTTGTTTAATAAATATAAGACGTCTTTTTTTAATTTTAATATAATCATGTTTAAATCGGAGCTCCGTACCGGCTCTGAACTGAACGGACACTATTTGTACCGGAACCTTACAGTTTTAAGTGTGATTCAACCGAACCATTGAAGTTTTGTAAATTCTGTGAGAAAACGTTGACGTGGAGAATAGAGCCTTCACACCAACCCAATAGTTTAAGGCATCGAAGCAATTCGATATAAAATCAAACCAATTCGATTTAAAATCAAACCAATGGTTCAAAGTAGATAAACTAATGAACCATATCACTTTAGGTATATATATGTGGTTTACAACTTTTCTTAATAATATTTATATATAATTTATTCTTATCAATTATATCGATATAAACTTTTAAGTATTATAATTATATTTAACATTTTTGTAAGTATAGAAAGTGCAACAAAATAGTTTACAAAAACAAAATTGTGCATTTTTTATCACGTTTTGTGCATAAAGAAAAAAACAAAAAAAAGATAAACAATTCTGCATATTACTAAATTATATATAAATCGTGATTAATATACAAAATATAATAATTATACTATATGCAAGTAATATACTAATTATAAAAGAAATATAAAGTAATCATTTACAAAATAAAAATGTACATAATAATAATATATGAAATAAAAATATACAAAATAAAAATATACAAAATAAAAATATTCAAAATAAAAATATACAAATGAAAATATACAAAATAAAAATATACAAAATAAAAATATATAAAAAAAATATACGAATTAAAAATATACAAAATAAAAATAAACAAAATAATAATATACAAAATAAAAATAAAATGTATAAAAAATATCTTATATGCTAAATATGAAGAAATCATAAATTAAATTTAAGACAGATTGGTTTTAGTCCCTTCGAAACTTTAATACCCTTCACATTCTAGGGTTTAAAGGGTTTAAAATCAATAAATAATAAACAAAATATAAAATAAATTTTAAATAAATATGACATATTAAATATAAACTTAAACAAAAATATTTGAAGGGAACTTTAAAAGAATAAAGACTAGTTATCGGTTTACTTTTTAAACTAATTTAGTTACTTAATTAATAGTTATCTGCAGCGGCTAATAATTCTTCCATCAACGACGGTGTTTCCTTTTGTATTGTAAAATTATGCGATTTTCCTCCATGCTGCGTGTAGTTCATGATATACTCTTTGAACTCATCTCTTAATTCATAAATATTAGTTTCGAGTTTACTCAAGTTTGGCACACATTGATTGCTACGCTTTATTAAATCTAATACTGCACTAGTTTTTGGACGACCTGTGGTGAGAGCTGATTGTTGTATTAACTGCAAAGAAAATAAAATTTAAACAATGTATAGAAAAAAAGCAAATAATAATGAAAAAAATATTTAAATCTAAAAATTTAATTTTATCTTTTATTAATATTATCTTTTTATCTTTTTAATAATATTATCTTTATTATTTTATCTTTTTAATACGCATCCAGCAGACAACGGAAATCCACTGCAGTACTATCCCACGTAAATTATACAAGTAAATAAAAGCAACCCTCTGTCTACGGCCAATCGAGGGTAGTAAGTTTCACCGGAGGTGAAAGAACCATTAAACTACTAATTGGGACATGGAATGTTCGCAGTCTTTATGAGGCTGGAAAGTTAACAAACACGATTTTAGAAATGAGGCGGTTTAACATAGACATTCTTCGTATAAGCAAAACATGGTGGCCAGATTGCGGTGAATTCATAACATGAAATTCTAACAAATTTAAGTTAAATGTAGTGTAAAAAAAAAATGTTTATTGGAGTGATGATCGCCTACATTCGAAATCGAATTGGCAAATAAAGAAAATGAAGAATTCTTGGACTGATCATACATACATCTTTCTATATAACCGTTCATATGATTTTTGAAAATATCCACTGATTTGATTATTCGTATATAATTTTTAGACTACAAGTGTCAGAAATTGTACTCTGTCAAAAATGAATCGTGAACTTGTTTGTTAACACACAAAGCCCAACTTCGCTCAATTTGAATTATTTAAATTTTGAATTTTATCAATTTTTGTTTACTCGTAAACAATGGGTGCATTTATAAAACTAACGCACAAACCACAACTATACAAATTTACATAACTGTTATAAATTATAATATTTTTAATTGAAACACTATTGTTTGTAGAAAATATTTCTGCCTACGTGACTGTCATGGATTAAAATGTTTAGTACCTTTTTATAATCGTCAATTAAATTGGGCACTTCATGCACAGGATCTTCCCGTGCTGATTTACCAAAATCAGATGCCTCAAATTTCTTCCGTTCATTCTCCAAACTTTCTTCAAGTGTCTATAAAATATAAAATAATTAATTATTGATTTATTTAAATGCATTTAAAATATTACTACCTTTATTTTTAGTTGACTTTGTTCATATTTGAGGCGCATCTCTTCTAAAAGCCTTTTGGTTGTTTGTAAATCAGATAAATCTTCCTCGGTCTTCTTTTGTTGTTCTCTCAATAAAGTTGCTTTCTGTTTAGTAGCTCTTAGTGCTTTTTTCAATGATTTTATATTTTTAAGTAAAGTATTTGTGTGTAAATCGTAACGTTGTATTTTTCGTTTATATTCTGACTCCAGTACCTTTGTCAGTATACGCAAATGATCATCGGATGATTTAGAACTTATCGTAGTTTCACTATCACTACAGGAAGGTGTTGTATTTTCCTCATTAAGGTCTAGGTCCGTAGTAATTGTTGGGAAGAATATTGCATTACGTTTAGTTACTTGCTGTGAACTTAGCTGATCTTTTAATTCTTGTATTTTTTTCTGATATTCATCACGTTCAACTGTTATCGCTTCAATTTTGATTTGTAATAGAGCCAGAGCTTCATCATGTTCAGAAACTAATTTATAGTTAATTTCATTTACATCATTTTGTAATTTTTCATTATCTAAATTAAGTTCAGCAATTAGAAACTCTAGTTTTTCATTTTCTGTAATCTTCTCCTTTAAAGTCTCTTCTAATACTGCCAAACTCTGCGCATATTTGGATTTCTCTTTTAATTGTTCAGTATGATATTGCTGATCGGTTACTTGTAGCAATCTTAATAAATCTTGTATTTCGATATTTTGTTCGGCAAATATTTGATTGAGTTCCTCTAACTCCGCTCGTTTTATTTCCAATTCACTTCTGTTGCTTTCTTCTAATTCATGTGCTTGTTTTAAGGCCAATAATAATTCCTCCCAATCTGCTTTTGAATCATTGATTTGCTGAATTTTTTCATTTTTACATTGCAGACACTCTGTTAGCATATCAATACGCTTCTTGTTATTTTCTACATCTACAACAGTTTTGCTAAGCAATTGCTCTTCCAGTTCCACAATGTCTGATTTTAAAATTTTAATTTCTGCCGATTTGGAATTCTCTTCGTTATAGAATTTATTGGCAGAGTTAAGAAGCATATCGTGCTCTTCTTCAGGCTGGGATAATATTCTTAATTGTTTTTTCGAATTTGTTAGTTGAGCATGTTGCTCTGCATCGAGGAAGACAGGTATAACACCACGTATATATGTGGCAACATCCTTTTTATTTGTATTAGTCGGCGTTTCGACTTCCGCTAATAAAGATTTATTTGCAATACAGCTGTCTAGATCAGTTGTATCTGTTTGAATATCTTTGTCAAACTGTTCAATAATTGGTTGAGTTATGTGTTCAGCTTTAGTAAGGTTTTCTATTTCTACTTGTTGTGCGGCTATTATTTCGTTCTGCTTATCAAGATCTTTTTTTGCCTCTTCAAATTGTGCTGCCACGCTAGCTGCTTGCGTTTTTGAGGCGCTTAGTTCTTGTGCTGTGGCTAATTTACTAGCTTCTAAATTGTTTACTATATTTTGTAAGCTATCACATTTACCTTTTAATTCTTCATAATGTTTTTCGTTATGAGTTACGAGTAAATTTTTGTGCTCCTCGTTACATTTAGCTACTTTCTCGCATTTATATAACTCAGCATCCTTTTTCAGAAATGCTTTTCTTAATGACTCCATGTCATCATATTGTTTTTGCAATTTCAACTCTAAATTTTCCTTAGCCAACGCTTTATCTTCCAGCTGCGCTTGCAGTTTGAGAATTTCTTCATTTTCAGTTACTTTAGCTAAACTCTGTTTCAATTCTTCATTTTCTTGCATTATAGCACTGAGACTAACAATGTCCTGAAACTGTGGTGGCGCCTTTTGTTCATTATGTATTCGTATAATTTCTTTTAAAGTCTCGAACAATTTCATTTTCGCATTCATAGCGCTGTTTTGGTTAGAGGAATCGATTTCCTCCCGTGTAATTTCTTGACATAACGTTGTACATTCCCTTACATTTTCTGCAACTAGTGAGGAGTTTTCTGAGTTTCGTTGCTTGGTTTTGTCCAGTCTTTGCACTGTTTGTGGTGTTTGTGAAACTGCTGCAAAATAGTTTACGTCTTCAACTTTTGAATTATTTGTACTTAGCAAGTTATTCAAAACATTTTCTTTATTCATAACAGCTCTGACTTTAATATCCTGAAAAAATTAAAAATAGTTAAAAAAAAATTTTTTTTTATTTTAAATACTTACAGTTTTGTTTTTCAATGCACCTTCTTCGCTCAGACCACTTTGAAATGTGTCTAGTTTATTATCTACTGGGGTTACTTCTTGCAGCTCCACATGTACTTGTTTATTATTATTTACTTCAAGAGCATTAAAATTTTCAATAATATTCAATTTTGAAACATTTTCTTCTGTATTTTTCAATTCATCATCACAGTCAACTTCAGATATCTTCGTAAAGTTGATTTCATCCTTCTCTTTTGGTATGTTATCGACTTCATCACTCAACAAAAGCTCCTCGTCAAACTCAATTACCTCAATATTCTTATTTTGATTTGAATTCTCTAGTCCAACATTATTTCTCGTTTCTAAATCCACCTTCTCTTGCTCCTTCATATCCAGCTTAGCTTCCAACTCAACTATACGTGCACTTAACTCACTAGTTTGTTTCAGATATGTACTTAATCTACTTCTTAACTGCTCCACTTCTATCTTATCTTGTTCTGTTCTAAAATTTAACTTTCCTTGCTCGATCATACGTAACTCCAACTCGAACTTGGTACGCTCGTGCAATGCACATAGATTCGCATATTGCTCATTTAGCACAATCAGCTCTCTTTCCAGTGCCTTCAGTGATGTTTGTGTGGTTAGAAGTTCCTCTAAAGCAACATTTTTCTCACCTCTATGTTGCTCCAATATCACATGCAGTTCATTAATTTGCTCCGTTTTCTCCACATTGGTTTTCTGTAACTGCTCCAACTCTAGTTGGCGTGCATCCAGCATAAAATTTATATGCTCTATTTGTCGCTCCTGTTGTTCATTCTTCGTTTTCAACTCTCCAAATGAATCAAGTTCCTCCCGCAACTGTATGAGAGTACACTTCAATTGTGCCAGTTCCCTTGTCTTATCATTGATTTCTTTGTGATATGTCATGCTCAATCGATGCACTTCATCAACATTCGCCTCTTTAGTTAAATTTTTTTTGAATTCATTTTGTAATTCTAGTATTTGCTCCTCTTTGTGTTTTAATAAATCTTCTTTAATCTGCAGTTCTGCGCGTAAATCGCTAAGAAGATTTTCTACTTTCAATTTTTCTGCATTTTCACTTAAAAATTTTGTTTCTTTTTCATCAATGGTTCTTTGTAAGTCCCGACGTTGATGCATAAGCTCCTTGCATTTGCTGACCATACGATTATTATCCACTTCACAACCAGCAAGTGTTACTTGCAGTTCCAAGATCTTCTCGTCTCTTTCCTCTGCCAAACGTTTCAGGTCTGTTATCAGCGCTTGCTTCTGTTTGCGTAGAACTTCTATTAGCACTTGTTGATCATCAATTATGGCCTTTTGTTGTTCAATTTCAAAAACACTCACATCCTGGCAAAATGCCAAATCTGTAGTGCGGCGTTGTTGCTCTTCACAGAGCTTAACTGCCTTCACCTTGCTAGCCTCAAATTCTTTTTCAATATTGGCACATTTTTCATACAAACGCATGCATTCACGCTGCAGACGCTGGTTTTCTTGCATATATTTACGTTCCTGTGCATACAAACGTTCCATGGCATCCAAACGTGTACACTTTTGCGCACGCAACTCTTTTTTGTACCATTGTTCAGATTTGCTAAGGCGCTCCAATTGGCTACGTAATGTACGCACATCTTGTAAAGCCATAAATAAAGTTTTTTCTTTATCACATTGTTCCTGTGATGGTTGGTACACATTTTGGTTGTGTAATTCCACTCCCAAAAAGGGGCTGGAGTTGGCACTTACGTTGGAATGGCTAGAAAAATTCCCAGAATCATAAGAAACAGCAGCAATACTAATGTAACTACTGTCCGGCGTTGTGGGGCAAATATTGGTGTTGTCTGTATATGTGAGTGGATACTCGCTCCAGCCTGGTGCCGCACTTCCACATTCATCATTCAAATTTTGTTCCTTCTCTTTTGAGCTGCTCATTACCGTTCTTACTAATTAATACATTTATTTGGATTTAAAGTGGTCAAAAATATGCAAATTTATTTGCATATGATATCATTATATATATTTAATTTATTTTTCGCTGATGTATAAGACTTGTTTGTCGACCTTGTAATCTCGCCGTACTTCGCCATCATTTTACTTTGAATTTTTATGAAATTTTTGCCTCTTGTTTATCTTTAAACGTATTAAATATTTATTATTAATAGCATTTTTATTTATTATTATTAATTGTTTTTATTTATTAACTTAACTTTTCATTTTTATTTTTGGTATACAGACAAAGTATCAACAGCTGTTTGCTAATAAACAAGCAGTGCTGCCAGCACGCAAATAAATAATTGGCATACACTAAAAAAAATAATTTAAATTAGTAGTTTAACACATAATATTATGCTAAATCCAATATAATCCATATAAATGAAAATAGGAATTTAATGAATATCGGTATAATAATTGAAACCGTCTGAACAATTTAAATTTAACTCAATAGTGAGTTATTGGACTCAATTAGCGATTTTTACGTCATTAAAACTGTTTTACACTATGACTACGAAATTCCACAAAAATTACCAAACTTCAATAAATTAACTAAATTTTTGTCTGTCTTTTCTTTACTATTCGAACCCTACTAACTATTAATTAATTTCTTTTCGTCATAAAGACGCATCATTCTCGGTAAGAAAATATTAACAATTAAAATTTATTATAAAATTTATTATAATATATAATTTAGAATTGAATTTATCTCAGAAATGCCATTATTTTTACGTTATTTAAAATTTGCTTTTATTTTATTAAATAAAATGTAACACAAAGTTGAATTTAACTTCAGAAATTGGTTATTTATTTATATACTTATATATTTAACATATCCGAATATTTGTTGCTCGTTTACATTCAAATTATGGTTTTTAATTAAAACTAGCAGACCTGGTTGCAGAAAATTTGCATTTGTGGTATCGTATCGAATTCAAGTCGAGTGTATTCTAACTTTAAACATCAAGGTCATCTTTTTGGTATAGTCTCAAATTCATGTCGAGTTCATCTAAACTTTAATCATCGAAGTCACTTTTTTAGTATCATTTGAAATTCCAATTGAGTTTATCAAAATTTTGAACGGTGACCTTGTTTGTTTAATACATCGCCTAAATGAAAATAGGTATTTAAAATTCAAATCTTTATATTTATATTAATTACATACGGTTACATCTTTCTTAAAACATTAAAACATTATTTTTGAACTTATTAGTAAATGAAATGTTCATATGATTTTAACGAATGATTGAAACATATTTCCATTGAACATTTACAATAGACTGATTTTTGAATTTGTCTGCACTAAAACTTAAGACGCGAAAATTTTTACGAGTAAAACGAAACTCTGAAAATTTTAAAAGTATTGTTGTTGCTTCTCATGTTTTCTAACGTAAGATGCGAGTATTTTCTTTGCTACTTAGAGAGAAAAAATTACAGTTATATCTATTAAAACAACTCAAATAATTTAACATCGAATTCAACGTTTTTTATTTTATCAAAATCAATTTTTATTGAATAATGCTTAATGTCTGTCCTTTTGTCATCTTCTTCACTTTTGTTCATGACATCGTCATGAGCATTTTTTTATTTTCAATTAATTCTCAGGTAACAATTGTGACAAACCAGTGAGGACGTTACCATTAACATGTGAACATTAACCAAACTAAAATGTTTAACATTATTTTGGTGTGAGCGCCTCCTAATTATAAATAGCAACAGCTGATGTTGTACTGTTTTCAGTTATTCAGTGAAAATTTTATTGTTGTGCCACTCTGGTGTGTGCAGTAGTAATTTGTCATCAGGTTTTGTTTGCATCGCATTTAATTGATTTCTTTATTTTGATCGCGAAGTGAAAGAAAACCAAAATATGTGAAATTAATTTAATTATATGGAGGCAATGATTGTAAATAGATAACGAATAAATGTTTATGAGTGCAATTATTTATATATGTATAGGTTTATAAGTGTTTGTTATGTGTTATTTTTACGTATTTATATAAATAAGGTATATTGAAGAAAAAAAACAAAACAAAAGGTAATAGTCCAAATTGCAGTTAAAAGATTTTTTGATTGCGTGTTTGTGAATGAAGCCCTAATATGTTTCTTTTGATTGTAGAATGAATGGAAAATATGTTGATGACGAAGCATTTATAGTTTTCCATAAAGGCGTAGCCCTACATTTGCATTGGTCGAGCGTGCCACCGTTAGAGCGTGCACCAGTGTTACGGCTACGTGAACTACAGGGGAATTTGTTGGTATTACTCACAATTGATGGCTCGTTGTACTTGGCACGGTATGAAAAGGTGAATTCAACATTGCACGTTGAGCTTAAACTGACCCGGATCGTTGATGTGGACTTTTGCCGTACCAAACGCAATTTGTTTGTTGTCACAGATGCGGGTCTGGTACTTACACAACAATTATCCGTGGCAAATCCAACAATAAGTGACAATTGGGAAACCTTAATATTTGACCCATTAGAACTGGCCGAAGAGGGTATTGCAATATCACGTGTATGTTGTTCCTCTGTGGGAGTCATCTTCATCACTGTCCGTGGTGACATTTATAGCATGGGTAGCTGCGGTGAAATCTCAGCGCAGACACACCCACAACATTTGCGTTTATTCGAAGAAAATAGGGAGGTTATAGACGTAGCAGCTGGCGATGATTTCTTTGTGATACTTCTAAAGCAACTATTCGTAGAAAATGATGACAGTGATGAATTTAAATTGCAGGATGCAAGAAATAAACAACGAACAAGTAAGTTTATTGCTATGTTCCAATGTAAAAACTAAAACTTTTTCAATATAGGTTATAATATAAAATTACCTGGAGGAAACGCTAAGACTTCTCATAGCCATGATTCAGAGGAAATTCTCAATGGCTTTGTAAAAAAGCAAGACTTAAATTCTAATACTTCCCTACATTCATTTAGCAGTAAATCAAATCAATCTGATGAAGAACATTCTTTTGTTGTGAATCTGAAGTGCATGCTAAAGCAAGGACGCGGATTTTTGGCTACAGAAGTGTGCACGTTTGGCGCGTCAAATAACGGCTTACTGGGTACTGGCGATCACATCAAGCGCACTTCAGTTAATAACATTCAAAAACTAGAAAATATAGGAGTTTGTAATATCTCAACTGGCCGCGAATACACTGTAGCGCGCTCTGTGGACGGTCGCCTTTTCCATTGGGGCTTGAATACAAAGGGACAACTTAATGGCAAACCAGAAATTATCGACATTAGTTCTCCTACGGAATTTAATTTGGACAAAATTATTCAAAACAATAAGCAGGAGTCATGCTCTAGTGTTTATCAATCAATGCTTCCCTATCTTATCAAGGAAATTTTTGATAACAATGAATTCCCGCTGTTAGATAAAGACTTTCTAACGCTTTATATGGGCAATGCAACCAAAAATTCATTTCCTCTCTTTCTTGCGACTGAGGACTTTACTGTCCATAATTTTCGGCAATTCCAGAGAGATTACCAATCCATTTTTCGCAACTTACAAGTACAAATGAAATGCATGCTGAAGTACAGATACACGGTGCAAATGCTACAATTGTACCAACAGAAAACTGCTCCAATGCCCTTGAAGAATTTGTGGCCCCTATACTGTAGCTTTCATAAGATATTGTATATGCTGGCCAGTGTGGTGAAGTCCTTCGAAAGTTTCTATCGAAATGATTTTGATAATCCTGCCGATTTAATCTTCATTAGATACTATCGCGAATGCATAGAAATATTTAAGGAATACACCCAAAATTATTGTGATATTTACTGCATTGATGGGTTTTCGGAAGCCGTTAGAGTATTTCAGACTTTCTCTGGGCTACCGCTCTCACCTGATCAACGCGAAGATACAAATTTACCATGTGTATTCCGGCAGCCCTTTCAGATATTCCCAAATATTATTGAGTTTTTGGAAAAATTACTGAAATCCAGACATGAATTCACAGAACACTTTGATTCGTGGCGGGATTTTGCTCGACAAAATCTCATCGACTTGGAATTAGCTGAGAATACACTGGAGTTTTGGCAAAGTAACGAGCGCAACTCTAAGCTCAGAATATTCCGTACCATGGACAGACGTGTCATTCTAACTTCGACAAATTTGCCAATAAAATTAGCTAACAGTATTATTATGTCGAGTTTGCATTTCATTCTGTTTTCGGATTGCTTGTGTCAAGTTGGAAAACAAGTGCTCATTTATCCGTTGGTAGCAATGTGGCTTAAGATGGAAAATGAGACTAGTTTTCAAGTAATTACGCCCGAAAGAACCTTTACGCTAAATGCAAATTCACCTGCCAACAAAATGCTGTGGTACGAACAGATGGAATCAGCCATAGTTTCAGCTCTCCATCTGCCAGAAGGCAGTAAATTGTCAAGCAGGCGCACCGCTGCATACGTTTTTAGTCGAAATCATGCAAAATATGCAAGAGTGCATGCAAAGGGACGTTGGCGTAATGGGGTTATGCATGGTAACTGTTACTTGGACTATCCTGATGGTAAATGCTATTATGGAAATATGAGACACGGCGAGATTGAAGGTATTTATTCAAATAACATAAAAATTTAAACAAAGTGTGTTAATATTTCTTTTTACAGGATTTGGCAAGATGCTGTTACCTTCGGTAGGTTTGTATGAAGGCGAATTTAAAGCGGGAAAATTTCATGGATATGGTAAATTTGAAATGAAGGACAAGGAAGAATACGAAGGCTATTTTCGTGATAATCTTTTTCATGGCCATGGAATGCTACGTAGTAATTACTATACTTACATGGGAGAATTTCAAGCTAATACCAAAAGTGGTTATGGCGTTTTGGACGATATGGTGACTGGAGATAAGTACATGGGTATGTTTGCAGATAATAAGCGTGCTGGTGCCGGCACCTGCATCACCATGGATGGAAACTATTTTGAGGGTATTTTTGCAAATGATGAAATGGTTGGCACAGGTATTGCAGTTTTTGAAAACGAATGTTATTACGAAGGAGAGTTGACTATGCGTGGACCCAATGGTAAAGGCACCTATTACATGTCAAATAAACGTTCTGAAGGCGATGTAATTATGTGATATATATTTTATTTCTTTTAAAATTTATTGTGTGATATATATTACAGATTTTAAGTAATGACAATGGTGATATTTCTAATTTGCAACTCATTGGTAATGTACTTAGCGGAAGTCTTGCTGGCAACTGGAACGAGGTTCGAATAGTAAATGGAACTATGGCGGTAAACATACAATACCCAAAATATCCGAAGTGAGTAATTTAGAGTGTAAAACAAAATATTTTTCTTCATATTAATTTACGCAAGAGGTTTTTCTAAGGTTCTATACACAAGACAAAATACTATAAAACCATGCAATAAATAAAGACTCAGTCAGTCGGTATATACCGTATGAAGTTAAGTCAAAGCGAAATGCACAGCCAACCATGCCTGTACATTTGTGAGAGAAAAAGAAATATGTCGGTTCAAATTTGTTCATGTGAGCCGAGGCTATCTGTGCGTCATCACTTAGGCAAAGCAGTGTTGTTCAATAATAAATGTCAACATTTGTTTCTTTTAGTACACTTTATTAGAATTACTGACATTCAGAGAACAAAAGAGCGAATTTTAATGAGCCCATGACACTCTGTTGAAAGTGAAAAATGGAAATGACCTTCTCCATTTTATATTCCCTGATCATCTTTGAATAACTTTAGGGGTTACAAGAGTTTTAATTGCAATTCGATTGTCATTCCAGATATACTTCTTGTGTCATTTCTCTCGATAATTCGGTAAGTTACCTACAATGTGGCATAAACATCCTTTAGAAGACTATCGTTAGTCTTTAGTACCACTGAAGATTTTGGAGCAGAAAGTATAAAAGATATTAGTTAATCTTAACAACATTTCAGAACTTATCAATTGATACGGTTCTGGGAATAACACACTAAAACTTCGTCCGAAACAAATTGAAATTGACAAACATGATCATTCAATGACATCAGAAATAGGGAGCGCTGATTTGAAAGCTAATTTTGCCATTTATTTTGAGCCTAATGATCGCTATCGTCGAAATATCGGATTCAAAGATCCATGAGAAGTGAATCAAGCAACCAATTAAAAGCAACACTAGTGACGGAGTCATCGGCAGGGTTGCGGAGAAATATCTTCCTTTGTAGTCTGGCTAAAAAAAAAATCGTAGAATTAATGAAAGTTATGATACTATACTACCGAAGTATATATCATTATAAGTTTGATTAGGCAGTTGTTAAGCCAGTGTACAATGGCTAGGCTTAGACTCCAAATCTTGCCCAAAACTTTTCTATACTTCTAAAAGATCTTTAATGTATGGGAGACTGTTCAAGATCATTTCTAGATAATTCACTTCTCAAGATAACTGCACGGTTTTTTTTAAAATAATTAGTAACAAGTCTACGGTTTTAGTTTCTAATGAAGATAACGATTGTATATTTATTTGGATTTACTGAAAAACTTTGTAGGTTGCACCAATTTTCGAGTCCGTTCCGAACTGACGCCTGCTATCATTACATTGGCTAATAAATAGTACATTTTCGTAGTTATCTATATATGAATTATTTGTGTTAATTTAGTATATATATTATTTTTGTTTTCTAATAAGTTTCTTTTTCTATTTTCAGATCCATCGGTGAACTCGTTGTGGACAACAATAGAAAATGGCGTTCATTATTTGACAATTTTGCACAACAATTTTTTGGTGCATATAAAAAAAGGCCTACAAACGATTCCAATGGCATAACAACAACAAAGAATATTTGGACTTGCATTGTCAGCTTTATGAATGTGCAAAAAGAACGCGAAAAGTCTTTAGAACAAGAGAATACTCCATATCAGTCAACTAACAGTTATTTCAATAAAAACATATCTCTGGGATATTCCAATAGTTTTGATAAGCTTAGCATTAAATCAACAAATAGTCTTTTGACTACAGCGAAATCAAGTATACTGGACGCTAGTCACAGTTTCTTAAATGCTAAACTTTCACATTCACAAGAAACTCTAAACGACGCTGATCTCAATGATGCAGACTTTTTCTATATCAGCAGTTCGCCAGCAGTTCAACAAAATGACCAGCATAGCTCCAACAGTGATGAATTGAATATTAGCAATGATGGTAATAATTCGTTAAATAGCTTGATGAGAACACAATTCAGTATGTGGACTAATGATTCCGCTCTCAATTCACCGTCATCTTTAGACAGCTCTTTAAATCTAAGTACAAGTTTGAATAATAACAGGTAAATAACTAGATATTTTTACCCCCTATTTTTATTGATTTTTTTTTTTTATAGTTTTACAACTCAAAATAATTCAGATTATATACCCAGTTTTGGTATGAATTCATTGACAGAACAAGATGTAAGCGCTATCAAAACTTATCTGAACCAAGCCTTTCAGGATCGTTACCATCCACTATATTTGCTAAATCAACGTATCGAAAATTGTTTTCACACATCTTACGGTTGCTGGAAAGTAAAACCTACACCAATATTGGCTAGACAAGCTATGCTTGAATGGGAATCTATATCAAAACGGGTTTATAAATTTATTAGAAGTATGTTTCCTGCGCTTCCAGAAGATTACTGCATAATTGAAAGTAGCAGAGAAGTTATATCGCATATAACTCTATTATATCCCATCATACTATCTAACGCTATTTACTCAATACTTTTCGTTCTTTATGCCAATAAATATAGCCAAAAGGATGAAATGTATCGACAAAATATAATGTATGCAGAAAAGTTAAACAACGACGAATTGGCGAAATGCTTAGGCCTAGACAGGTAAATATAATTTTATTTAATATAATATATATAATATATATGATAAAGAGGTGAAAATTGAGGCAAATTATTATATTTAAAATAATAACTTTTATTTTTAATTATTGAGGAAACATATTACATTTTAATGAAGTGAATTTATGGTTGACCATACATATCGTGGCTTTGGATATTGCCAAATATCTAGTATCAGTGATCTACGGAAAGTTTATTTTTGTGGTTATTTTTTATGAATATGAGATTAGGGCCTTTACATTATGGCCTTTACATTAATTGGAGTAACCACTATATTATTTTTATTAATATATATATATATACCATATATAATATATTGTGTTTTAAATTATCATTTTTTAACACAATCTTAAATAATACATATGATATTGGACATAATGTTTTCGTATTTAATAATTTGCATATTTTAAACAGTTAAGCCCGAAAGAAGGAAATGATGAATATATATAAAATAGATATAGCAAATTATCATTCAGAAAATAAAATGTGAAAATGAGATATGAAAATATTATATTAAAGGATGTCTGTAAAATATTGCGAAGAAATAAATCTTCTCGATCAACAATTGAAAGAAGCATTGCCGTAAAGTAGAAGATTACTGAAATAATACCTGAAATAACATAAAGTAACATCATAATTAATAAGGAAGAAAGTTCTTCAAAATGTTCGAACAGTTCAAGTACACTCAAGATCGAACACTTCAAATGTTTGAACACAATTAAGCTGCTCCTTGGAGATGTTCAAACTAATTGAACAACGGATCTATTCAGTGTTTGATTTTGTTTCGATTTCTTGCAGCCCACCGTGCTTGAGCCAAGTACTCATTAGAAAATTCGAAGCAGTTATGCAGACTAATATGGAAATTCAAGTTTATCAAACAAGATCTGTAAAAAAGTTTAAATACTAGAAATTCATTTTAACAAATCCCTTAAGATAATCTCTAAATACGATGGAATCTCTAGTGAAAGAACACTAATCAAATATAGCTAGCAAACAGTTGTAATTATGGTAAATAAAGAATGGGGAGAAATTTCTATGCTGAGCGTATTCAATTTTTATAAGTGAAATGATGTCATAAAGTAAAATATTGCAAGAAAATCAATTTTCAAAACAAGAAATGAAGATTGTCAAGATGAAAAAGCATGTCCCACAAAACAAAAATACTTGGCTTCCAAAATTAAAAACAAATACATGAAATTAGTAATTAATTTTTATACTCTTATATGCCATTTTTTATATAAAGTTATTTATAATGATCAAAAATCAATAAATTAATCAATATCAATAATCAATATCTAATAATCAATATGAATAATCAAAATTAATAATAAGGTGAATTGATGGCATTGAATGTACTCCCTCTCACAATACAATATATAATACAAAGTTTTTTTCCAATCCAAGAAAGAATTGTTAAAGTGCATTCCAATCGGTTCTTGAACGGTTGAGTTCTCAGTTCCTTAATTGTGTAAAAACAGTAACCCGCAAATGATACTTGAGCTTAGGGAATAGCCATAAGTCATACGGTGGAAAATTAAGCGAATACAATAGTTGTAGAACGATACGAATTTTTCTCGAAGTCATCTTAAAGTATCAGAGTAACGATAGTGTAAAATATAAAAATTATTGTGAAGCAAGAACGATTATAACCTCTTTTTATATATAGCTTCACGAGAATCTTCTAAAAAGCTCAAATAATATTCCTTGTTAAAATCTTGGCTCGACGATGAATTCATAATGCATCACACCTTGATTATTGAAAAAAAAAAACTGTTAATAATACTTTTGAAGAGTATTCGGTTGTTTCGTCGCTTGTTTCCTGGTCGTATTCCAGTCTTATCTGCAGTTATCATGCATTTCATTTAATACCGCTAGTCATAGGCCTTTTTGGACAGATTTTAACGCAAAACTCTTTTTCCAAAAAATGGAACAAGATTTTAATATTTTCAGACACAAAACATCTTTCAAAATGGTGTGGACTGATTCAGATGAATATAGTGATAATATCTGTTAGATATCTAATCATTAATCGATCATTTTCAGACGCTGAATCTTTTATTTTCTTCGCATTTTGTTTAGCAGTTGATGTTAATAGGCGTTTAGGGTGATTTCACTTTAATGTCACAGTTGATTTCACATGTTAATGATGAAATTAAAAATTTCACCTTACTTTTCGATCATTATTATTAAGTTAAGTTTGATCCTTCTTTATTATGGTCAACTTTTCTATCTATATAATTTTATATTTATGTTACTTATATACGTTTATTTATATTTTTATTTACACTATTCTAGAAATAGAAGACGTTTCTAATAATATATATTTTTTTCAGTTCATTTTTGCCAGTAATTAACCACCCTCTGTTTGACGAAGCTATCCAAACATTCCAGCAGCTTCAAATCAAACATAGCCCCAAAGCCATGCTGACTGTGATAGAAAAGTGCATGCAATTGATAACTGATACACATAAAGTAGTTGAACAAGGTACTTTTCATCTGCCATTCTTATTTAAGATTAATTTCAGCGCCTCGCTTTTTTTTTTTTTAAATTTTTTTTAGAAAATGCAATAAAACTGGACGCTGATAATATTATGGCACTGACATTATTTTTGGTATTACGTGCTATAGTTCCCCACTTAGGTGCTGAATTGGCTCTACTCGATGATCTGACAGGAGGCTCCAATTTTCAGTTCGAAATGAATGGTCTAGCAGGTTATTGTTATACTACCATAAAGGTATAAATATATATATACTTTTTTGTTTTAACATATTTTTTATTAATAAATATTTTTTTATGCTTTAGGCTTCCTATGAACACATAACAGCGAAACCACTAAATAAAACTTAGTTCGAAATGCGATTGCTCAGAATTATTTAAGCTTATAAATTAACCAAATATGTGAAATGTTATTTGATAAAAGGCAATTACTTTGCCTACATTTGTTAACATTACTGTTGCGTTGTTACATATTATTAAGGATTTACAATAGTTTAAATATTATATAGTAGTTGTACATACATAAAAACTAATTTTTGTTCATATAATACTTTATTTTTTAATTTATGTAAATATTAGCTAAATAATTAATGTTTTTAAATGTGGTGCATTACTCTTCACAACTTCTATGTTTATCTGTATTTATGTATTAAAATATTATATACCTATGTATATTGTTTGCAAATAAACAAAAACAGAGCAAATATATTGAGTATTAGCTAGACTTTAACTTTAAAGAAAGCCATTCCTTAATATATACAAAAATGATGTATAAAGAAAATATATTAATAAATAAAAGATTTTGTTTTCAAATTTTTAAATGGTAAATGTTCGTTTTAATTTATAAGTTTAAATAATTATTTTAAGCAAAAAAAATTAGTGAATTAAGTTAAAATATAAGACCAAAAATATGTATAACTAAGATTGCTCTTTTAAATACTATTCGTAACTTTGAACATTTTGATTGTCGAATATCTCACCTGCTAGAAAATGTTCGAATACCCAATGGAATTCGATTAAAATGTTAAAATTCAAGCATACTTGAATTACTCGCGTACAGTACTAAGTAAAAATTGTAAAGTACTTATTAATATATTTAAATCGTTTTTAAATAAACTCTAGAAAATGTTATACAGTGTGCTTCCGAATAAAGTTTAATGGTTATATCCTTACTATTGTTGTTGTTAAAGTAGTCGCCTGCTAGGACTTGTAAAGCAGATAAAATGTAAGGTTTACAAAACGAATACATGAGTTGGTATGTGGATAGGTGGTGGTTGAGGGAGGCGGAATAAAGAAGGAATAGTGATTATATGGTAAAATCCTTACTATTAAATTAAATGTAATTATAATTAATACCATAAAGGATTACTTCTTTCTGTTAATGTAGTAAACTTTTATTCTTTTGTTCACCATCAAACAGAAAATTTGCAACAGGAAAAAAATTTTAAAATATCTTTTGCTTTCCATACAACAAATATCCTGGACTGAGAGAAGGTATGAAGAAAGGCGTGGTATATGAAAAAAACATATATCATCTCCAAAATATTTGGAATTCTACTGTGGAAGACAAAAACGAATTTGCCGAAACAAAAGTTAAATTTCTAAAAAAATAAAACCGTCTTTAAAATATCTCCAAAATATTCGTGATTAAACGAATAGCTAATAATTTTATCGTTTCAAATATTGTGCAGAAAAAAATATAATTACCTATGTTATATAATTACATATATAATTATATAATATATAATTATATATATGTAATTATATATATATGTAATTATATATATATGTAATTATATATAATTACATATATAACATTTTATACGATACAATGAGCAGATAAGTATGTAATTGGTAATAAAAAAGAATATTTAAATATGAAGTTAACACCCAATCAAGTTGACTGTGAAATAAATTAAAAAATATTTCTCTAAATTTTAAACTACAAATAAATAAAAGTAAAAGTATATTTGTTATTTCATTTTGTAAAATATATGCACAAAATTTTCTGATCATTTAATATAATTTTGAAATTTAACGTTGTAGTCGACATGACCGAATCAAAAATAACTCTAAATGCTCAATTTTTTGATGATCTATGGCCGTTAATACTAGACGATAATATATGTGATACCAAAAGTACTCACAAGTCTCAGTTTTTTGAGCCAGTAAATCGTTTTGACTTTCTGTGGGCTAATAATTTATTAGCGACTAAAGGTTACAAGGATTTTCGCAAAGCTATTGAATTTCGCCACTTCCATGAAGGTGTTAAAGCCGACAGCGATGATGAGCAGGGTAAAGATGATATATCAACAATAGAGTATCCGGGTTATGTAGAATATAATGGTGATAGTTATCAAATTGAAAAATTTCGTTGGTTACATGAATGGCGTAAAGGTGTTGCGGCTGATTTCGCAAATAGAACATTTCCCTGGTACAAGGCAATTCCATTTTATGCGAAAGAAATCGTTATCACCAATGATGATATTAAAAAATTTCACGTACCTTTTGAGAAAAGCATATTTGAGAAAATTCTTGATTTCAAATGCAAGGTAATGATCATTGATGCGGGTAAAGATGTCGGCATTAACGATTTCCAACGTTGGTTGAAGTTTAGTGCATATATACAAATTATTCTTATTATACGTTGTAAGTTATTGGCAACATACTTGGAGCCACTAAACATTTTCAAAATTATTGTAATTGAAGAAAATCCGGATTTCAGTTGGCACCGACAACTAACAGCTTCTTTACGTAATGGTCACAATTACGCTGTTGAAAATGAGCTTGTTAAAGATTTCACAACTCCAATTATATTCATCTTCTCAAGTGCACGCGGATTTTGTTCATGTGACAGCTTCAGAGTCATAAAAAAATTATAGAATATCATGAGCAATACGAATGCCACCAGTTAAAACGTTACTTTTGAATTCATAAGAACTTTAATTGTGGTTTGTCTATAACAATGCATATATTTAATGTTAATATAAGTAATACATAAAACTAATTAAAATAGAAATAATACAGCGGTACAGTTTTAACTGAATAATATTTGCATTATATCTTTTTTAACTTTGAACTTCTTTTCAGAGTCCATTTTTTGCATCATCGCCATCACTAATTTACAAAATATCATATCCTCATCTTCACTGTCAGCACTTTTATCAGTTTCCACTTTGGTGGTTTCTTCATGGGATTGAATGTTATTATTTGAAGATGTGTTTACAGTAACGATATCTGGAATTATGATTTCATCATTCGAGCACTGCTCTTTTTCAGCATGCTCTTGTTTAGGTTTTTGTTCATCTTCCGTTTTAATATTTTGTTTAGGTTTTTCAGTGGATTTCTGCTGCACACTTTTTTTATCAAGATTATTTACTTTATGAGTTTTCACCTCGACTTCTTGCAGGTAATTGTTGGTTGTAATGGCTTCTTCGACTATTGTTACTTCGTCGCCGTTTTCATCCAATTGCTCTACTTCCAAAAACACGTAATCCTCATTATCACTTGGATTCTCAATGTCTTTTTCTGTTATATAGAATTCCGGATTTATTATATTAGACGATTCATTTGGTGCTGTAATTTTTGTGATATTAGGTTTAACACTTAAGTGCGGAATCATAAACGACATTTCTTTTTTATATGTACAAGTTTTATTGTGTAAAAAATTTTGTACTAAGAAATGCCAACGGCTTTTTATATTTTGTTCTAAACAGAAAATTTTTTGTTAAATAAAACATTTTTTAAAGTTTAATACTTCTTACCAGGCATATTAAATTGTTCAGCTAATTGCTTCCAACCCTCTCTTCTGTCCACTAATGAAACATTCTTTCTATATAGTACAGGATTTTGTTTAACAGTCCTTATTAGTTTTATATTCGTATCCATTCTTCGTTAATAACAATAACGCTAGTTCAACTTCTCAGGTTTTTATATATTTTGGTTTATTCGGCGTTTATTTATTTGACCACAAAAACGTCAAAATCATAAGCTATTCACTATAGCATTCAGTGTTAGAAACCATTCACAGTAGTTAACAAGTTAACTACAATACAAGTTAGCTACACTAACACTCCGATTTTCCGTCACCCCGATTCGATTGGCGTCACATTTTGGCCGTGTGGGGGTTCGAGTAAATTGAGAGAAATAGTAAATTATGTCGGTATGGCAGCGAATATTGGTATTTACCAGAATTTCGAGTAGGGTAAATTAGATAAAAATTAGGTAAATTAGGTGTTACAATAGTTTAGCTGTAAGAACTGAAAAATCAATTTATAAACATGATGCTGATAAGATAAAGGACTATGGAAAAGCTGTTACACACTTTTGCAGGCCAAACAAGTTATAAGAACTAGAAGTCCATTAATTGTAAAAATGGAATCCCTTCTATCCATGTGGATAAAAAATCAGAATTAAAAAAGTATGCCATTGAATTTAGAGGTAATTCTCCATCAACAAGTGATCAAAAACCAAAATATTTTTGAAAATTAAATATGTAGAGAAATATAATTCGAATTGTGTCTCATTTTGTCGGTCCCAATTAACGACGCAAATCGGGGTCTTAGTGTATTCTATATATTGTTTGTTATTGTGCTTCTGGTTAAAACGAAAAATGATGCTATGCGTCTTCTTCTTCTCTAATACTTAAGTTGATTTTAGTGCCACAGTGGTGTTGTTAAATTGTGTGCTAGATGGCGCTGGAGCATATATCGCGGATTTCTCATAAATGTTAATAGTAAAAAAATTAGTTTTGAGCTCAGCTATATTAGTGGAAGTAGTATGTGTTTTAAACATTTTTTGTGAAAGAAAGAAAAATTTGTAATTTGTAGTTGTAATTGATTGTTAATTTATTATTGTCACTGACTGTCGCTACTGTACTGTCATATTTAATTTATTAAAACATTGGCAAAATAATTGATATATGTTAGTTAATTGTCATATAAGTAACTGTAATTTGTTTATGTAAATCGTAATTGTGGTTTGAATCAAACCATTTTTTGTGAAAATGTGTTCACTGTATTTTTGAAACTGCTCATACAAAAATGTAATGATGTGATGAGAGGAATTTTTGAAATTATAAGGTCATTTAACAATATTGACATTATGTACTAATTGTAAGTATTAAAAACATATTGTAATTATTTTTTTCTACGTCAAAGGGTAAAAAATTATTTTAATATGTGATTAAAAAAAAGCTTTAATTTTTTTTTAATTTTAAGATTATTTAACAATTAAAATAAAATGAGATAAATCTTAGCGAAATACAGAAATATATATTTATTATAGAGAAGTTTTGAACAGTAGTGAGCTACAGTAACAAAAATGATTTTTATATTATTTTATTTATTTGAATTTTTGGCTGACCATATAGCTGGTTCGAGTATTGCCAAATACCTATTATCAGTGATCTTGGAAATAATTTTTGTATTTAATTATTCGTAAGTAATTTTTTGAGACCACAAGTACCAGGAATCGAACTCGTGCACTGCCAAATTTGAAGATTAGAGTCACCGCACCTTAACCAACTGATCCAAAGCCGTACTTGACTCTTATGTTTGCACATTTTTCTGGAGTTTTGTTAATTTTCTGGGAAAGTTTTATTAACAATTTTACTTGACTTATTATAGTTCTTTAATATTAATTTAATATAATTTAAGTTGACGTAGGGCTTAGTAACTTGAAAATTAAGTTATACGGCATTTACACTACCCGAAAATGGCTCATTTTGGTCAAAAATTGAAAATGAGAAGCAAATGTCTCATTCCTGCATACAAAATTTCAAGCGCAAATGGGACATTCCATCACATTTTGTATGAATGCGTTCCAACGATGTTCGCATGCGTTCTAAATATGTTTCAAATACAAAAGAATACATTGAGCATACCCTAAATAAAACCTCTTCATGGTTTTTTGACAGATTCAAAAAGCTGTTTTTGACATATTTACAAAAAAAGGTAAACAAATGTTTGGTGGTTGTATTTTCTTGAAAACGATGCACCTCTTTTTAGATCTTCTACTTCTACTTCCCATAAAGTAATTAATCGAAGATAAAAATAAGTTTTAAGTTTATATTGTAAGGTTTGAAGGCATATTAAACCTTCATACAACATTTTTTTGGCACAGGCCCAAAATCAAATCAACTGGCAAGTTCAAAAATCAGCTGTTTGAAATGAGAACAAACGAATTGCAACAAATGTGAACACTTTCAAATGGCTCATTCAAAACGAGCCATTTCCGGCCAATGTTATCGCCATATTATATCGATACGCAGTTTACTGATATGGTGTTTAGATAGAGACAGCAGTGTTGTTGTTTTGCGTACATTTTAGTAGCTTTAAGCGAGCAACTTACTGTTTTTTGCTACGCTTAAGAGCTGCCAAATGCACCTAAAATAATATATAATAATTTATTTAATTAACATACACATTTTGTCTACTCTTAAATATGTTGTGTCAGAATTTCTGTCAATGTCCTTTACTTTACTCTTTGCTTTTGTAAAAATTATTTTTCTCTTTCTTTTATATGTGTTTCATATGAGCGACCTATTTATTTATTCACTACTTGTCACTTTCAAAATATTTTTTTAAACAGATTTCAACAGTTGGTCAATTTCAAATAAAGTTTAAAAATGATTTACATAAACATTTATTTACACAATATTGAGGATATAAATTAATAACTATTTTGAATCTACCAACTCTGCAAACGATCAGAGTAGGCGATAATACGATTGCCAGTACGAATTGGATTTCTAATTATTGGTGGTAATTGTGCAAAGATCTGTTGTGGTCTGCTGCCAACGCTTATTTTTACAGGTTTCGGTGGTTGTGGCCTGCTAAATTGAGCTGGTTTTGAGTTGGGGTTTCGAAAAGCGGTTGGGCGACGTATAGGTCGGAACGTTGTTAAACGTTGTGGGTGCGGTAATGTAAGTTGAGTTTGGGGGTATATATTAGCTGGAAGTAAACTATTTGCAGGTCTACGTATTGGCGCTGGTCGGCGTGAAGGACGAAAAACAATTAAGCGTTGTGCATAAGGTAAGGTGAATTCTGTTTGTGGGAAAAAATCACGTGAGTCAATAATGGATGCACTTTCAGGTAATGCATTATTGTCGTCTGGTATATCATGTGCCTGTTGTGGTTGCCAGTATATTTGATTTTGTGGTTTATAAGTTTGATCTGGTGGTCCATATTTTTGATCCGGTGGGCCGTACGTTTGATCTGGTGGTCCATAAGTTTGATCTGGCGGTCCGTAAATTTGTTCAGTAGGTAATTCAAAAGGTGGGTCTGGTTGTAAGCCTGCCGGCGGATAAGGTGCTGGAGCTAATTCCTGATTTGCTAGTATAGCTGGCAATTTTGTAATCTTGGCTGGTCCTGGAAAACGCACACGCTGTCTCGGTGGCTCCGCATAAGTAAGCGCAATTAATAAACATGCGATCAATATAATTTCAAAGCTTTTTGCCATTTTGAGTCTTTAGCTGTTACAATACGCACCGTTAGATCGAAACTACATTTAAATTTAGGAATCGCAGTGATTAAATACTATTTTTTAATTAAATAATCAACAAAAATTAAATGACAAGGTATGACCGTGAAATAGTGTGTGTGCATTACAATAATTTTTTTTTTTGGTAACAGTTTTGGCTGCCTTTTTTGGTTTATGTAAAAGAGAAAAAAACCCGCCAGGTTTGGTGACCGTTGATACGTGCTTGAGGTTAAGTGTTTCAATTCGACGCTTTTGAGAAATTCTTGCCCAAAAGGTGAGCGTACACATTTACAACTCTCAATATTTTAATTTCAATGAGTTATGTGCATATTTCTTATATTAAATGCATATCACATAATAATTGTTTATTATGTATTTTTATATAATGTGTGGTGGGCACATGGTTTACTTTGAAATAATAGCATCAATAATAGAAATAATATTTATAACACACAATTTTATTTCAAAGTATATTTTTCAGGTAAAACCTGTAAAATAAGTAAAGATTTATTACAATCTAAATATATCAAATTAATTTTTATGTGTTGTTGTAACCCGTTGCTTAAGTCACTTTGGCAGACGTTGAACGGTACTTGGTCGTTACAGGCGACGAGTGGCTCTGGGATGTAGACCCGGCCGTTCTTGGAACCAATTTTTATAATAGTGTACTGGTATTCTGGTATTTTAGAATTTTATTTTATTTTTCTAAATGAAAATTGGAATTGTTTTCTTTACAGAGGGAACAACGTAATTAAAAAAATGTGAAAAGTTAATTTAAAATAATTGTTAAAGATAAAGATAATAATAAATAACTTTGATATCTTCTGCATTAGTCTTAGCAACATTATATAAAAACGTAAGGTTTTACAAAATTTAACCAAGTGAAATTCTTCTTTCACTTTAATAAAATCTATGTTGAGGCTAGTTGAGTTGAGTCAGTGCACGTGAGCACTTTTACTCTCCATTAACTGCGAGGTTTCTACGAAACTCCTCTTTGCGCCTTGACTGGATTATTGTTTATCACTTCATTAGAAAAACCATATAATGTTAGATGATTAACATATCTAGTTAAGTATGTCGATAGGATTTAGAATTTTTTTATTTTAAAAATATTTAAAACAAAAATATACTAGTTCTTAGTGGAGATTAAAAATAATCTTTTGTTTTCCAAACTTATGTAGAACTAAGTCCCGTCATACGTTCTGTCACATATGGGCTCTAATGTAGGATTATTGAAAAGACACGAATCTAAAACAAGTCTAAAACGAATCTAAAAGTGATATATATCACTATTCCATTGGTATCTAACTAAAATGTAAATATTATCTATAATTAAAATAGGGTATTATAAGTAATTGTAAATATATAATAAAAATAAAAATGTATATATTTGTTGCAAAAAGAAATTGCAAATAAAGTCAAATATATTTTAATAATTCAACAAAAAAGAATAGTACTGAAATCTTACAATTAAAAATAACTGTAATTAATTAATTCAATTATTCTATAGCTGGTTTATAATTCCGTTTTAATATAATACAGTAAGTAAACTTGTTAATGGACTTTTACAACGGAATAACAAAATTCCAATTTAGAACACACAACTCAGGTACGGCTTTGAGTCAGTTGCGTAATTAGCACTGACTCTGAGTTTCAAATATGGCAGGGTAGAAGTTCAAACCTTGGTAATATAATATAATACATCAAAAAATGCTTCTGATAATGGTATATTTTTTTGTTGCAATTCATTACTGCACGAAAACCTCTCTATTAAAAATACAATAGTTTCTTTTAAGGAAATTCAATATGAAATATGTATATATTATCATAATTTTTATAAAGTTATTTTGAAGAATTCAATTTATTATATTTTCATAATTTATGACTTACTACTTTTAAAAATAAATAAATCAAAAGTTTGCTGATAATTTATCTGTAAATGTTAAAAAAAATGTTTGTTTATAATTAAAAATACTATATTATCTTTAGAAATTATTTGAGTTAAATGGTATATAAAGAATGGACCTGTAGAAAAATTTTAGTCTTAGTAAAATGTTCAAAATAAGTTTACTCAGTTTATTATTGTACACTTTGTGTGGGAAAATGTCAATTGCTGTTCCTCAAAGATGGAATGTTGACACGACTACGATTGCTACTACCACTACTACAACAATGACTACACCTACTGCTACCACTCCAAATTCACAGGACACATCCTCAACAACCGATCCTATGAAAGCACTTAATCAACAAATGATTACTATTCTTCAACAATATTTCAGTTCAAATTCGTCAAGTCAATCAGAACACCAAAATAATAAGTCACAATCTATATCAGGATCAGTGAGTAACTTTAATCATAATGATGTTGGCGTTGTTAATCAAGGAGATATGAACTCAAATGAGGATGTTAACTAAAGATGATCAATATAATAAAAAATATATACAAAAAAATTAAAATTACAATTGCAGAAAATTAAATGAAAAAAATTAATTCAAATGAATATATTATTTCAACATTTTTTACAATTCTTTAATAAAATGTGTGCAAACTACATTTACTTTAAAGTTAATTTTTTCTAGCCGAAAGTGGCGCGTCCTATGACAAAAAGAAACTATTTAAAAGTTAAAAGCGTTCGATTAGAAATGAGAAGACAACAAAAATTTAAGTTCGTGACTTTTATATGGATGTGTAGTGTTTAGCAAAGCCTCAAACACTACTATTCGCTAGCTAGAAATGTACAAAGCCAGGCTCTGAGAAGACTTTAAAGTACCATGGTACACTAGGACGAATGACATTCGACAGTCAGATCTGAGGTCAATTATTGCCTAGTCTGATGAAATGATGACAATAATCCAGTCAAGGCGTAAAGAGGTGCTTTGAAGATACCTCGCAGTTAATAGAGAGTAAAAGTGCTCAAGTGCACTGGCTCAAATAGCTTAAACGTAATAATATTGAAAATTGGCTGACCATACAACGAGTATTGCCGAGCACTCATCATCAGTGGTATTAGGAAATATTCGAATTTCTCTTTAATATATATATAATCTGTATATAATTTGTTTCGACTGCAAGTGGCAGAGCTTAGTTCTATAAGTATTTGACAATATTCGTTGTTTGGCCAGCTAAATTTCAATAAATTAATTTAAATTTTTGTGCTAGTCTTTTCTTTCCTTTTTAAATCTCTCCAGCATAAATGTCTCTCCAGCATACTGAACTTATGTATGTACTTAGCTCAGATTATATTGTTTCGACAAAAAACCATAAAGTGCTTTCTGCCAACAACACAAGTTTTTTCCTATCCCTTTGTGTATATTTGTTGAACTTTTCTAGCCAATACTTAATATGAAGCTTTGTTAGTAGTTGTCACGTCTTAACTATGTACCCAATCCAGATTATATTGTTCGGATAAAAAGTGGAAAAATGCGTCCTTCTAAAAGCACAATATTTTTCTAAGCCTATATTTATATCTGTTGCACTACTGTAAGCGATACTTTATATATAACTTTGATGCCTCTTTTTAGGTATGTTCACAGTCCGTATCATATTGTTTGGATAAGGTATGATAAGGCATCTAAATAGTTTTTCATAAATTTTTTATATAATTGAAAAAATTGCTAAATATTAATTGCCCAGAGATCAGAAGAAGAAATGCCGTTGCGGTAAGGTGCTACTATGAAGTCATTAGACAATTGGGATGATGAGTTATTTCTTGACCAACAGAACTTATGGTCTATAGGTCTCTCATCCCATCCCTGCTTCTGTGTTCTTTACAAGTTTGCAACGACTACTGTATCCGAATTAGTTAAAAGCTGTATGCCATTGATATAAATCTGTGAATTACCATCCAACGATTTCATTGACTTGTCCATGTAGTGAGAATGAATGAGGATAGTCTAGCGAATTAAGTGTTTGAAACGGCAGTTGAAAGAAAAATGTTTACAGGTAGAATGTCTCTGGTGAAGTGATCAATTTGAGGGAGCACTAACCGCACTTGTTCTACGAGACTGAGAAGTGCTCTCATATGAGACTGAGGAGCGCTCTGGTACGAGACTGAGCGCACCGATAATGGCTTGTTATGGCAATTTAAGTAATTTTTAATTACTTTTAATTAATAAACATTACATAAAATTTAATATTTATATGAATTCCTAAGTTGACCATACAGTTTTATCAACAAGTATACTTTTTTAATAGTTCTTAATATATTGGTTTAATTACCAATACATAATTTTGCAATTGCAAGTGTTAGGAAAACTTTCCCCTGCTTTTATTTTCGAAGGAAGATTACTTCCCATAGGAGTTATAATTTTTAATTAAAAGAGTGAATGTAATTTGCAAACGTGTTTTTGACGTGCTGTAAATAATGTGGGAGCTATTCAGCTTATTAAATTTGAAATATTCTTTTTAAATTTATTTATTCATATATATTGTTACATATATTATTTATAAATTTATAATTATATATTTTTTTATATATATGCTATGTAAGTTTTATCACTTATACCTGGTCACGTGTTGTAATAGGTATTGGTTACAGTTTTTCTTATTCTTTTTTATTCTCCTCACGTGAATTAATTTCTCCAATATTTATGGTGCCATGATCATTATTGTTAATGTCGTTTATTGACCCATTTATAATATGTTGCTCTTGCTTTGCAGCTACGTGTTTATTTTTAATATGATTAGTTTGATGTTGGTGAATAATAGATAATATTTCTTCACGCAAATATATATAAAGAGGGTCAGTAGTAGTTGTAAGTTGATGGTTAGGAGTGGAAGCATTCCAGTATTCATCCGGATCGTAGTCGTCATAATCTGAATCATGATGTCTTGGCAACGGATCAGCTACAGACATATCCTTCAACCAAATGATTAAAAGATAACTAAGCAAAATTGTTTTTAACATTTTAATGTTGAACTAAATTTTTCTTTACAACTTTGCTCTTTATATACCATTCAATCCAAATATTTCTAAAACTAAAATGTTATTTATGGTTATATGTAAAATTATCTTTTTCAGTAATTAAAAAAAATGAACGTTTTATCAAAATGAATGATTTATTTATTCCTCGAAATAATTAGTAATA